TTTTTTGAACAGTCCACGTAGATGATTAAGAATTGCGAGAGAAATTCCGGTGGAAAGCGAGGCAAAAAATAATTTATCGATGCCGTTTCTATTTTCATCCGCGAATGTTTACAGAAATAGCTAACATTTCACGGGAATTGGTAAGAGGTTATGCGTGTTTTACATTGTATGGTGTTGAAAAAATTAAAATGATACTTGGTAAGTGTTGTCTTTGTCTTTTATTAGAACTATTTAGAGTATCACTGTCACGATAATTTGTGGAAACTGAGTAAAATTTGAGTAAAACAATATTCGAACTGGAAAATCTAAATTTGCTGGGAAACATTTTTTGGTGTTTGCCACGATTTTTCACGTATTCAATAAACTATTCAAGAAAATCTGTGAATCGTTATGGAACAGTCAATCCAAAACAACTACTTTCTCGTCAGAATGTTGAAATAAACAGTTTTTTTTTAATGAACTGATTGATGTAGCCGTTGCTACCTGGTAAAACAAATTGTATTAGTTTGAAAATGTCCACATAGAACGAAACTGCAGTGATATTAGTTACAACTAAAAGTGTTGAAAAAATATAGAAAGTTTTATTTCTCATTTTTCGACAGTTTCCTTTCTCGTCTATTCATTGAATTATCATTTCAATACTCTTTCATCTGCTATATTGTGTAGCGACTGTCATGGATAATATATGTTTCAATATGTTTGATGTAGATGAGAAAACAAGAGTATTTCATATAATTCAATATTCCCAGAGGAAGTAGTTGTTTCAAACAGTTTCTCTCTCACTGAGATAAGAGAGAAGGATCTGTTTTTGACATTGATATTTGTTTTCATAAGTTTTGTATTCTGTATACATGGTACATCTTTAATGATGGCTTCAGTTTATGTCATAATTTCAAAGACTGATTTCTTTTAATATTTTTTTAAACATATACGAACATGAGTAATTTTTTCATAAAATAGATCGTAGAAGTTTTGATGAGAGATAAGCTGGATAAATATTTAAAACTTTTTTATCGAATATGAAAAAAACATTAATAGAAAAGACATGGAATATTAAGACCGACCGGGAAGTGTTCAAATCAATTCTCTCGACTATTATAAAAGTACTAACACTTCAAAAAAAGTACTGGGAATTGGTCGAAAAAACGCACGATATGTAATATTTACCCCAATTTATTGTATCGTCTTCAAAGTAGGCCCATTCTGAAATACTACACCAACGATTAACCCATCAATATCAATTTTGGTCGTTTATTTTCTAATCGACTTCAGTACTCACAGCAAATTCTCTTTAATGTCGTCTCTCGACTGAAAACGAATATTTCGAAGAGGTAATTTGGGTTTTGGAAAAAAGAAGAAAATCGACCGAAGCCATGTCCGGTGAATACGGTGGCTGTTGTATAAAATTTGTTGAATGTTTGGCTAGAAATTCGTTCACAATGATAAGAGGGTGGTCCCAGAAGTACCCGGTCCAACAAAGAAAACACAATAATTTTGGAAAAAAAAGTATTTATTTTTCAACATAGTCTTCTTGCAGCTCTTGATGAAACACTTTTTTCTTGATGCTTCGATGATGCTTTGTTGCTGTGAAACTTCGCTGAACACTCGCTTGAAACATCTTCACGTCTCTGGTTTCGCTCGAGTGTGAGCAAACGCGGTACCCATCTTGCACACATCTTTCTCGTGTCAAAATTTTCAGATAATATACGATGTATCGCCTACTAAGTCTGCTAGCTCGCGCACTTTCAGTTAACGATCATTCAGTACAACTTTGTGGACTTTCACCGCCATTTCCGGAGTTGTCACTTCATTTGGTCGTCCACTGCGATACTCGTCTCGGCAGCTCGTACGACCTTGTTTAAAGTCTGCTACCCAATATCTTACTCACCCAGAGTAGAATCCAGTCCAGCTTTTATGTTAGTTTCAAATAAAAGTATTGTCGGTATGACATAACGAAGACTAATTTTCTCCATTTTCACAAATTCACCAAAAACCATCTCTAGGTCAGGCTGGGAACTTCTGCGACCACTTGGTTATCGTGGTGGAGAATACATGAGTATTCGACGGATTTGCTCTCTCAAATGACGCATAGCACTCAATTAATATTCTTCATTTACTGCCTTACCTCAACTTTGTCGAGCTTTTTCCATTTCAGCTCAGTATATTCGTAAACCCATGTCTCGCATCACCATATACATTACATTTCATGAATATGAGGTTGGAATCGACTTCAACGACCTTTACGCGATTCAGTGAGAGAAAATTCTGGTCTTTTGGCACTAGTCGAGTGGCTACGCGTTTCATGACTTACAAAATCGTTTTTAAATTAAAGAACTGATTCTTGAAACATATACATTTTAGCGGATATTTTGTAGAAGTTAACGACGATTTTCAGTTACCATTTCCTTTATTTAAGAGATGTTAACTACAATTGAGGATGTTGATGGACAACCAGTGCGTGGCAGATGTTCCACCACATCCCGAACGCTTTCAAATACACTGTACCACGGATGTGTTTTCGATAAATTCGATTCACCTAAGTCTTTCGCAATATTTTTAGTGCTTCGGCACACGGATTTACATTTGTAATCCAAAAGTTAAGACAGATTCTTTGTTCGATGTTTTTATCCATTGTAAAAATCGCAAAACATGTTTGAGGTAATACTGTGAAGGAACTAAATGACGGATGTCGCTGAAACTATGTGTGAATATAAAGGACAGTTGTGCCAACATAGCTACGAAATTTATTTTGACAATGCCTTCACGCGGGTTTTTTAAATGTTCAATTCCCGGTACTTTCTCGACAGAATTAATATAATTTCAAGTATATATTTCCAATAGTTAACGGTATGTCTCCGTCGGATGTACCCACGATGAGTGCAGAATTGAAACCAAAACTGGAAGAAATTATGAAAATGATGTTGGTGATCTGGTCCGAAAAAAGCAAGGCACTTAATCTCGTTACAGATGCAGAAAAAGGTTAGTACAAAGAGTAATTGAAATTCAAGAAATGTTTGTGACATTACGATGTGTTACTTGGTAAGTCATTCAATTATTCAAGGATCCACTTAACAATCCCAGATCCTATTATGATTATCGTATAAAAAAAGCAATCACCAGCGACAAACTTATAATTTTCAATGGGACTCTGTTTTTATGTTATCTTGTTATATATTATCACACCTGATGCTAAAATAATGTTGAAGCGCCTTCCTTTGAGAGGTGAAAGAAATAGGTCTTTGTATGGTACCTCATGTAATTACCTTACATCCGATATCAATTATTCCTGGATATTCTAAAGAACTGTCTTTGAGCGGCTAAAGATAATTCTTTATAGTGTCACTGTTTTTCGAGTTTGAAAGCCGTGGATTTTTGAAATTTCTTCCTGACGTTTCGCTGGCGCGAGTGGCTAGCTTCTTCAAAGGTTTACCCATTATGGCTTGCTGTCCGATGACTAACGCTTTACGAAGCCTAAAAAGTTAGTCATCGGACAGCAAGCCATGATGGGTAAACCTCTGAAGAAGCTAGCCACTCGCGCCAGCGAAACATCAGGAAGAAATACCAAAAATCTACGGCTTTCAAACTCGAAAAACAGTGACACTGAAAACCTCGGCCGCGAAAATCTAAACCAATTCTTTATAGGTTTTTGAGCGTGGTACCTTTGATTCCAGAATTTATTACGTTAAATTTATTTTCTCTCAATTGCCGATGACCACTAGGACCACGTGACTGGTGCGCAACAAGTGAGCTCAGGAGTGAAGTCCTAAGAAGGCCCAAGCGGTGAGGCAAATTCCCAAAGGAGCCCAAGTCAACGCTCTTATCTTTAAATCTCTCCGATTTTCATTCCATCCTTTGATGCATCGATTACATTACACGTGTCTCTCTCCCACTCACTAAAGTCTCTCACTGAAACACCAACGATTCGCGACCTTGAAATGCGCTAGGAACAAGCTTGTTCATCTACTGATTTGAATTTCCCGCTGTACGCGCAGTAGCTTCTGATTGGTCGACTGGATGACGGCAAAAAGGGAGAAGTGGGACGACTACGTCACACGTGTCTCTTTCCCACTCACCAACTTCTCTCTCTGAAACACTAACGAACGACATATGACCTTGAAGTGGGCTTTGAAGGTCGAAGGTCGTAAAATTGCCAGAATGGACCTGCTCAAATTTGCACGCGTTTTTCCATAAGGAATGGCGTCGTTCTCTTGCAGATATATTACTAATAAAAAATTTTCAACTCGAGAATAAGTTTTACCCCTCCTTGTTGTGCAGGAGATTGGAAGGGTAGTTTTTTTCCAAAACACCCAGTCCTGTTGTCTCTGTCGTGCACGATCCCCTCCATGGTTGTCTATTATTTATTAGTTACGGTTTTCTTTGCAGATTGCCACCAGCCCAAAATCCACAGCAAAGAGTGAATTTTTCAGGATACATTGGACGATCTTGGGTCTCATGTCGATTGGTATCATTCCAAATTCAACAATTATGTTTGTTCCAGAAATGGGCCACATCGCTGGAGATGATTTTTCGATGAAAATTGGGGTCATTTACTCCAGAGTTACTCCTAGGTCAGTTGGATTTTGTACCAGTGCGGGCCTAAGTCACGACGCAAAATTCGCAAAGTCGTGATCTGCAAAAAGTCGAGTTCTTGTGAGTGACGCGAAATCAACAGACAGCCACAATGTTTTCGGGAGATCTTGCATTTTGTCGACGTACGTATATTGGCCGATCGTTCACTGAACCAGTGGACTCAAATTTATTCATCACATTGGGAATAGTCCTCTCGTTAGGGGGATTATGGTGACCGTAAAATAGGCGAAGGGCGTACGTTGGCCGAACAGAACATCCATTTTGTAAAAACAATTTTATCATTTACACGTGTTGTTGAATGGTAGCTGTTGAAAGACCCTATACATATATTTAACGCAATGTCGAGTTATTTGTTCCCATCGAGGATCTTTAAGTATTGTATGGTATGACCTTCGATAATTTTGTTTCAGATTGTGACAAAACAGTGGTAGTGCATCGAGAATCGGGGGAATTCGGTTTCCGAATCCACGGTTCGAAACCAGTCGTCGTGTCCGCCATAGAACCGGGGACTCCCGCTGAATCATCAGGACTCGAGGTCGGTGACATCGTTCTATCAGTGAACGGGGTCAGTGTTCTCGACAAAAGTCACTCCGAAATTGTGAAAATTGCCCACGCTGGAAGCGACACTTTGAAGATGGAGGTCAGTAGAACCAACTCAATGAAATTCATAGTGTATGTTGTTATTTTTCAATTGAAAATCCTTTTTAATGTTGATTCTACCAAAAATTCCAGAGCTTGGGAGTACTCTGAACAAAGTATCTGATGATGAAACCAGATTCAGCAATAATTATAAAGTTTAATATAATATTCGATGGACTTTGTCGATACTTGAAAAAAATCCATAATCCACAAACCATCTCAAGCACCCACTCTGCGAACAGGACGGCACAGGACGGGAACATGACAGGATGTGGCCTGTTCTTTGCCTGTCTTCGTCTCCTTCGCACACTACGGCAGGGCGAGATGCCGCGTTCTATTCCCCCACCTTCTTCCTTTCCTTCCCGCTTGTTTCCTCTTCTTATTTCCCATCACGTAAGTAATAGCTCGATACCAGTAAACGATGGCTTTCCTGTTGGATTCTGACACCTTATCTAGTGAGCAGGATATTGTATTTGCAACTTTTACATCATAATATAATTCATTGGACAAATCAAACACTACAGGATATTGTTGGATAACACATATCAATTCCTCTTTGGAATTATCCATATTTTTCAGCGGCAATCTAGATGACTGAAGAAAAGACGCGTGAATATATCGCGGTGTCTTTGTAGAGCACTGAAATTCAAAGTCAAGCATGTGCCGTGAGGAAGAAAAGAACAGGGGTGAGAGGACGGCCTGAGACTGGCACAAATGATGGAGATGGCACGGCATGTGCCTGGCTAGAATGATTCGGTTAGAAAATTATTCATCCGTTGACAGATGATATGAGGGCCTCATTCGACTTGTCGGAGCCTTCTATATCGGGAGGGATCGACTACAGTATTATGTATAGTTTCCCCTTACTAACGAATTATCGCGCTATCTAGAACTCTCCGATTCCTCGACTGAATGGACTGCTGAATAGAAGGCAGCTGCAAATCTCTGCGGATGGCGTCATTCTGCATGAACCACGGAGCATTCACTATCATCTGTATTAGCTTATTTTGCAATCTCTTCAAAATGGGGAGATTCGTCGGAGCCGCTTATCCCTAGACGCCTGAAGCGTACATGATGACAGGCTTGAACATCGTGTTATAGATTATGATTTTGTTTTTCAGACTCAATCAGAGGGTACAGACTTCTGAAGAAGTCTGTACCCAGAAGAGCTGGGTACTTTCCCGCGCTTGCCAGTCAATCTCCCTTCCAGAGACCCACACTTTCATGGCCGGAGAGAATATCGTTATTCCCATGGTTTTTCCCTGAGCTTTGTTCGGGTTCACTCGGATCTTGGAATCAAGGTACCAGCACTCGAGGTTGTCTAATATACGTTGCATATATACGATCCCGAACTCACGACCCATGGAAGAAGTGAAGAGAGCTATATTGTCGGCGTATAGAGAAATCTTCACAAGCTCGGACCTCGGAAGGTCACTGGTGTGGCGTGGGACAGAGCACGACGCCCTGGCGGGTCGAAAGCGTGTAATTTATGCAGAAGGCCTTCGTGTCATACCCGGTCGAAGGCCTTCAAAATGTCTAATAGGACGATGTGTATTTTCTTATTTGTATTAAGCTCTTTGATGGTATTTTCGACCAGTCTCAGAGCCTATAACTCAGTGGAGTAGTCCCTCCGGGCACATACTTCCTCGACACATCCCTTTCAACATAAAGTGTCAGCTTCCAACAGTATGCTTTACAGACTATTGAATATTCCAACGGTTTCAGGGTAGATATTATCGACTCCATGTATTCCTCTTCAAGAAAAGATAATAACCGTCATCGGACAATAATATATTTTGGGAAATCACCAATAACATCACTCGTTTTTATAAAAAAAATAAGTTGGACGTGGCTCACAGAACAAATAATGATTCAGTCAGATTCATCAAAAACAATAAAAACAAAACTTGGAGTGTATTGGTGGTTCATGCCCAAAACTTTATATTCGCCAAACAGAAAGAACCTTTTCTCGAAGAATAAAATAATACAGGAATAGTTTCTTGAAAGTAAAGACCATTTCCACTGCAAACCATCTTTTAGAGAGCGGTATGAGTTCAACCATGATTATGACGTATTACATTTGGACGAGAAAGGTTTGAAACTCAATCTTTTGGATGGCTTGGAAACTATTAAATTCAAGAGTTCGGAAAATTCACTGGGTAACCAAATAGAATTGAATGATTTTTCCTCTGTTGAATCTGTTTTTTAGTGTGGAGATTAGTAATTATTTCATTATATGTCATTTGAATGATTTATTTGGGTGTAACTCCTGAAATATTCTCGTGTGATAATTATAAATGTAATGATACCTATACAATAAATTTCTAACTGCTGTATTTTTCATTTATAATGGTGATGTGAATGAAGGAACCAATTCCAATTTATAAAGTTTTACATACATTTTCAGTTGGTTCTAATTGTGGAAGTTCATAAATAGATTCGATAGATTCATTCTGTAGTTTCTTCGATAGTTCAATACTGATTTTCATGCATACTGAAGATTTGGAGGTTATAAATATTTTTTCAAGGTTGCACGAACTTGCTATGCATTGAACCCGCCAAATGACGAAGAATCCTTGAAAATATTGTACAGTGGATACCTGTGGAAGTTGAATGGATACGCCAGCGGAGTCAGCAGCAACAGATGGACCAGAAGATGGTTTTGCCTGAAACAAAATAACTGTCTCTACTGTTACAAAACTGAAGTAGTGAGTATCTTATGTATAAATGATTTTCATATGTATATGATATGACAGTTTGGTAATGCCCTAAAAACTCAAGGAAACTGCCATAGAGAAAGTCAAAATAACTTGTCTATTTTTTCCGAATTTTCAGAAAAACTGCAGCCTTATGAACCGGCTCGTCGTTTATCATCCTATCATTCTATGACACCCATACCAACGTTCTATCTATATTTTCAGAGTTTTAAGAAAAACTGCAGCCTTACAGGCGTATTACATTTTTCATCCATTCTTTTCATGTGTACCCAGAATAGTACTAATGTCACTCTTGGATTCAACAATGCACTGTGTGTAAGAATATTTATACTTTTCGCAATATTACACATATTTCCATCTGGAAAAAGGTTGTGCATAGGTCGATCGGGTTGCTGTAATGTAAATTTCTACCAGGACAGTATGTATTCTGTCGAAAAAGTACCGGATATCGATTCAAAAAGCCCGCATGAAGGGATAGTCGAACAAAGAATATGTCTTGAATTTTGCATTGCAAATCAAATTTCGTGTACCGAAGCGCTGAAAATGTTGCATATGACTTACTCAATATTTAACATCCTTAGGTCCACTTGTATAGGTTGAGTTTAAACCACAAGTGTTAGTTAAACTTTGGTTTAACGAATAAAGTTCATTGTATAGGTGTTTGTGACTGCCATTCGGAGTTTAACTGTCAACTGATGGATGGAGGGGCAGTTAAACTACAAGCGTAAGTTAAACACATGTTCGGATTGTATACTGATGTGTCAACTATTTGTAGTCACTTTATATATTATAACCTATAAATATTTGAGGCGTCCAGATATTTTCATGTTTTCATAATGGACATATTTGAAGATGTATTATTTGAAGAGGAAGATGAGATATATGTTATAAATATTGTGGAAAACCCAAGAAGACCGCGACTTTTTCTACCGCGAATCGACACCATGGATATTTGGATAGACCAGGAATTTATCAGTAGGTTCAGGATGTCGAAAGAATCTGTAGGGGTATTAATTCAAGAAATTGGCCTAAATTTGCATAGGAATACGCCACAGTGACTTTTGTGAGTTTTTTTTAATTAAAACAATGAATAATAATGATACATTATCCTTGAGTGAGCCCATGTCACGTCTTCACTATTCTTGGATACCAGAATGTCCTTATGGATTTTCACCAGACGTGATATATCCTCCACTTCCTGCTTGGAAAAATTGGATGACCTTCTGTTAGTGTGGATCCCGCATTCCATTTCATTACAGTGTCAGATTATGAACTTATCAACAAATTGCATATGGCATTTACGACATTTACGTCAATGTCCGACGGCAGGTCAATTTCAATTCACTTGTCACTTGTCAATGTTGTCGTGTCTACGAGTTTTTAACTGTAAGATATACAAAAGATATTTTAGCATTTTATCGGTTTAAACCTGAGTTCAAATATAAGATTGAACCCAAGTTCAAACTAAACTATAAACGAGACCTATACAACTGTCCCTTAGACGGTACGGACGAGATCTCGGGGGGCAGCCTTGTAAATTTTAAGTGGCACAAGGCACCACTACACCAGGAAGCTACAGTGAAGAAACGGTAATTCAGGGGTCTGTGTGAACTTGACAAAATCCGTAGGCCAGAAAGTCAGATTTTTACTTGACTGTTGAGAATTCAACCTGTTTATCAGTTGCAAAGATGTTTCACTATTCTAATGAAATAAACTAACAAATTAGTTTCAACTCTTCAATTAAACCAAATCAACTCTACTATGTGGTTGCTAACTAATTACAATAACGAAGGAGCGTGCAACGATGTGAATGCGCAAACAAAACGAAAAAGGTTTAAAGTAACCTGAGCGGTGCTAACGGTTGGCAGGAAACGCAATCAACCACGATTACTGAAGCAAGCGGGTATTAGAAGCTCTGTGCAATTCACTTCAAAATAATGCCTGTCCTTCACCTACTGGAGCTGTATTCTCCAACTCCGTGTATACGATGCTTCGGATTCGCAGAGCGCGAAAAGGATAGCCCAAGTGGCAAATACCGCAACGGACCGGAAACGCGGAGAGAAGCTTCGGACAGATGGTCTGAGCGGCGAATACCGCGAAGGACCGAAAATCGTAAAAGGAGACACCTGAAGGAAATGTAGCCCAAGTGGCGAATATCACAAAAGGCAGGAAACGCGGAGATAATATTCGATTGAATGATCCAAGTGGCGAATACAAGTGGCGGAAAACGTAGGAGACGTGTGAAGATAAGGTAGCCCAAGTTTTGGATACCACAAAGGGCCGGAAACGCAGAGAGAAGTTTCGAACAGTTGATCCAAGTGGCGAATAACACTAAGGAAAATGTAAGGGAAGACACGTGAAGAAAAAGTAGCCCAAGTGATGGATACCACAAAGGGCAAGAAATGCAGAGGGAAGTTTCGAAGAGATGATCCAAGTGTACCACAAAAAGTCGGAAAACGTAAGAGACACGTGAAGATAAGGTAGCCCAGGAGAAGAATACCACAAAGAGCCGGAAACGCGGAGGGAAGTTTCGAACAGTTGATCCAAGTGGCGAATACTACAAAGGATCGGAAAACGTAAGAGCCGCGTGAAGATACTAGTAAACGGTTAGACACACTTACGACGCGAATTCGGATGGCACGGCCAGGCACCCACTATAATAATTATAATCACTAAGTACGTACGTTTCCTACCCTGTCGGTAGCCATAGACTGCAGTCGGCTTGGTCACAGTTTAGCCATAGTAAAAATCAACCAGTAAGTCCACTCCCACTACTTTCATTCATAAATTCACAAAGTTCTCGGTGACTTAGAAACGAAGTGTGGAGCCAATTTCGTTTTTTTACCATATAAAAACTAAATTTAAGGTTAATATAAAATATTTTGTGATAAATTACTTAGAACCAACTACAAAAACAATAATAACAACAGCGAATAAGCTAAACACGATATCAATTTCCAACCATTTATTATAACTAATCCGATGTCCGTGGTACCGTCGAATCCTTCCAAACTACAGCACTGAACGCGTTGGATGAGAATCTCATCCTAAGAGCGGTTGAAGGCCCCCGGCAACTCAGGCGGATCACGTGGTAAGAGAGCCTACTGGTTGTATTATTCTACTGTGGTTTAGCTTTCTACTGTGGCTTGGTCACCCTTGCTTTCTTTGAATCCAGTCATTGCTTGTTCTTTGGTTCCACATGCGGTAGATTTCTACTTTTTCGGTAAATTCGGCAAATTGAAAAATTGCAGTAGATGAATTGTATTAGATGCCTTGGCGATAGAATTTTCATTTCAATGTACATGGCAAGATCTAGAGCAAATGATATGAATTCATTATTTCTATATTCTGCCCGCTTCGATACACAGAACACAAAATGAATACAGATCATAAAACATCCATTTCCCGATTGCTTGTTACTATTTTCTGAATACCTCCTAACCTCCGACCTCGGAATAAAGGAAGGAGATGATACATAACCTCATTTCACTTTTAATTTTCAGACTTTCAAAGAATTGAAAGTTTCATTTCAAACATGGAAACATTTTTGTTTTTGAATCTTGAAATCTAATACTTGAAATATTCTCTGTGTTCGAAATAACCGACTAGATTAAACTTGCTATTTCAAATATTAGACCACGCCCATTGGCTATACTCGTAAGAAGGCCAAGGCCAAGGCCTTCTAGATTTAGTGATGCTATTCAAATGTCTTTACAAGCGCCACCTAGTGGTCGAAAACTCAAATTTTCACTATGCTGGTGCTCTTCAAACTTCAAATCAAAGAGTACATCACTTCACTACACTACATTGCAGTAGATTTTCGATGACACCGTAGGTAGATTTCTCTAATAAAATGTGGTCATGCTGGTGGTGGCTCGGGTGGGCAGTCAGACTAGACTGCATTGACTGCACATTTTCGCTGTCTCGCGGCGGCACGGTCTTCATCCGTTTTTCATCACTCGCGGAGCGGAACTAATAAACGTATCGAATTCTTGGCATTCTCCTGAATTTTTTCCAACAAGACTGATATTTTTATACAAAGAAATAGCTGAGATACAATTATTCTGTTTAAAACGCAAGACTTGTAAAAGAAAAACAATGAATGAGTTGCATACACAAAAATGGTAACTTCGTTACAGATGAATCGACTTTATCAGATTATTTAAAATTGGTCGAGAAGTGGTGGAAGATTTTTCTCGCTCTGGTCGGACATCGCAATAAACTCAAATGAACTCAACACATGGTAGCTGAAAATCGTCATTTGAGATTGTGAGAGATAACCGCTGAAATTTCTGCGTCTCACGAATCAGTTTGTAACATTTTGAACGATTTTTTGGTCATAAAAAACCTGAATTTTCTGCAATCGCGTAAAGATCACTGAAAACTTGTTGAAATTTGTCAATTCGTACACCGCATTCATAAAATGCATTGTAACTGGCGACGAGACATGGGTTTACGAATTTGATATGCAAACTATTCAACAAGGTTGGGAATGGCACCTTCCAACTGAGCTGAAATGGTAAAAAACTCGTCGGAGACAATCAAAAGTGAAGGTGATGTCAACAGTTTTTTTATTACCACGGTATTGTACACTCAGATTTCTTCCCAGAAGATGAGACTATGTAAAAAAGATAATAAGAGCGTTATGCAGCGTTTGAGGGAGCACAATTATCGACAAAAAAAAACAGATAGGTATGTGGAAAGGGAACGCATGTAATTTGGACCACGATAACGCGCCATCTCATGTGGCTATCATTGTGAACGAATTCCTGGCAAAAAAATCAACAAATCTTATCAAACAGCCACCGTATTCGCCTTTGCGAGACACCCGTACTGAGTACTGGAGTCGGTTCCAAAAAAATGCGTTTAAAAACGTTTTGATGATTGAGTATTTCGTTGAAGTAAGTGTGTCATTTAAGGAGGGCCTACTTTGGATGAATAATACATATTTTACATTTCATTGATCATTTTCTGGTCGTTTTTTGACATATTAATATCCCCATTATCGATTTTCGACCCATATTTATACCAAGTGTTTCTGCTGGTTATGTTCTTGAAACAACTGATGTTCCACTCATCACTGTTTGTGACTTCAACGTATTCAATGCTGCTGTTTGTGTGGTGTTCATTGCTGCCGTTACAAACACGCCAGTCTAAGCACTCTGTCTAGTTGATAGGTGATCGCTTGTTTCATCTTTGACCACCAAAGAAGCAAATGTTATCATGGGTTAGAACATCACGTTGAAGAGCCCATCCACCATGTTTGGTTACAGCCTCCATGTCTTTCCGTAACTGCATCTGGACAGCTCCACTGCTACCTCCGCATTTATTTTAAACTTGTTTAAATGTTGGTTCCAAATTAGACAGGGATTTAATATCCCTCCAGATATTCAATCTCCTTCGGCGATTATTTCACTTCACTTCGAAGTTTAAGAGATCTTAATCTCTTTAACTGTTTTCTCCTAATGAATGCTACTATGTTCCTATGTTCATCTTTGTTATAATATTCAGAACTCTTTTGTTGGCGTGGAAAGAAAATAATTTGCAGGGTACCTACATCACTTGACCATCAGGTTTATCAACAACAAATTCAACTATAGTAACAGCTGCTAACAGTTGAAAATATACTCTCTGTCTCAAGCCTGAATAAGTAACAATAATAAATTTACAGGACAAACATCCCGTGGACGTTGTGATGCTCCACGACCAGGAGATCCACAAAATTCACGACGAACAAGAAAAAATATCGAAACCAAATAGCTTCCTGATACAGCGATCAGAAGGTGTGCCTCTGTACGTAGCAGCGGATAACATCGAATCACAGGAGGCTTGGATAGAAGCATTAAATAAAGCCGTAACCGACAGCAAAGTCGCAGATGAATTCTTGGTGAAGTCCAGGAGAAATCTATCGTTACCACCCTGTTCGGTTCCAGAACCGGACTGTTTTGGTTATTTGGTGAAACTGGGGACGCAGTGGAAATCTTGGAGTAAGAGGTACTGCGTCCTAAAAGACGCCTGTCTTTACTTCTACCAGGACGCAAATTCCAAAAGCGCTTTCGGTAAGATCAACCTTTGAAAAATAACTCTGTGAATCAGTTGGTTTTCTTCGTAGGTGCTGCTTATTTACATGGATATAGAGTACAACAATATTTATCAGGGACTAAGAAACATGCCTTCGAAATCATACCGCCAGACCCCAGCAAAAAGCATTATTATTTCCATACTGATTCAGATGCAGATAGAAAGAGGTTTGTATACGTACATCATTTTGAAACGTGTGTCTGAAAAACAGTTGAAAAAAATATAGAAAACACCTGATAAACTGATAACCGTCGTCTTTTTCAAGTTAAGACGTAAGTATTATATTTTTTGGATTAAGAAACATATCATTGCCTGTTTATATTTAGTTTTATAAACTTAGTCAAGGCCCCTGGTATAAACATTTATGTTCTTTGGAGTCAATAAATAATTGATACCAAAAATTGAAACTTGGAGAAAAAAAGAACAATTCTCTGACGGTACAAAAATACATACGAGGTCCGGCTAGAGAGCGCCCTAGAAGGGTGGGGAAAAACCGAGTAGTGCGTTAAGTATTTTGAAATCTTCTCTATTCACGTACCAAAACAAGTTTTCGACAATATTATAGTATTTGTGCAGTGACGGTTTGAAACGAACGTGATTTTTCTAGTACCGAAAACCATGTGTGGCGGAAAAAACTCCAAGTACTATAAATTGCTGCAAGAGGCCTATGGGGACTATTCTCCATCTCGTGCGCGGGTTTTTGAGTAGTGTAAGCCCTTCAGTGAAGGCCGAGAGAGCAAGGATGTCCAAATCAAAAATCAAGGCAATGTTGATCGTTTTTTTCGACATTAACGGTATCGTGGTCACTGAATGGGTTCCAGAGGGTCAGACTGTCAACCAGACTTAATATTTGTCCGTTTTGGCAACACTGCGAGAACTAGCTAGTAAGAAACGAGTTGTGGAAGAAGAACTCGTGGATTTTGCACCAGGACAACGCACCTGCCCATAATGCGCTATCTGTGAAAAGGTATTTGGCCGATAAACGCACCCCAGTGCTCCAACACTAGCCGTACTCGCCAAGTTTGGCACCGTGAGACTTTTTTTTGTTTCCGAAGATAAAATCTGCTTGGAAAGGGACCTGATTGAGTCGATAGAAGCGGTAAAGCAAAAAACGGCAACACTGCTTTGATAAATGGAAAAAACGAATGGAAAGGTGTGTGGCGACGGAAGGGGAGTATACTGAAGGGAAGCATTCGAACGTAGAATATTTTTTTATAATAAAACCCTTTTTCGTAACCAGTCTCGTTATTTAATAGCCGAACCTCGTATTACATACAATTATGATTAATTTTTGTCTATCCCCTAGTTTATAATTCCAATCAAATAAGTAGGGTTTTATTTCATGATTGCAATATTTTTTTTTGTTTTCAGGTGGATAGCAGCCATGGAATATTCAATAGATAAATGGCTCAAAATATAAAAGTAGTTTGTTTATCACATCAACTTTTGATTTATTTTAAAAATTGAAATCGGGACGTACTGTAGGCCAAATATAGGTGAAAATCATGAATTCCGAACAAAGATATTTTCTATTTTGTAAAAGTGTCAGGTACCTATTTGTTGTACGAAGTAATATTAATATTAAGTTCAATTACATTTATTAGTTCTTTTTCAAATATTCACTTGCTCTAACTAAAATATAATTAACTCAAAATTAATGATAGATGGGCATAATTCTGTTCCGGTTTCATTTCCTGTATTACTCTTTATATTTTTGAATATTTATATAATTTATAGCCATTATATTCAAAAGAATGATAGGAGCCTATTTCATTTAACAATTGTTTAGCTTTATTTATCAAAGTGACATATTCTGGAAATATATTGATTTTTTAATGATTGTTTTTCATTCTCAATATACCTACCTACAACTACTATAGGACATATTGTCTATGAAGTGAAATCTCAGATAGATAACCAAAACTGAAAATTGCAGGACTTTCTCTTGCTGTATGTATATATAACATAGGGCACTGTTGTCCACAACTTTGTTAACTTATATAAGTTGTGTAATAGTACAGTATAGAAATCACACACGAATCAGATGAGTCAGTTTTCATAGTCTGAGGATGAGGGCAAGCAAAGTGATTGCTCAGCTAGTCTTGCTACATCGACTACCCAGGTAGCACAATGACGTTTTTAGGACCTTTGAAGGACTTCACAAAACAGACCGTTCGTTAAAATAAATTTTAAAAGGCATTTCACTCTGAAACTATAGTTTCTTCAAAGGACAGTTTCGATTTTCCTATTTCATCTTCAATAACAAAACTACCATCTTTAGCAACTATAGATATACTCTATAATAACGTTTGCCTGAAGAAGAGCAACCACCTATACAATGTGTGGGACATCGTCAACGTTTTGATCGGTGGTTTGGGTTGAGGCTGAACCGTAGAGGCTCAGAACGTCGGTTGGGCAGTGCAATCGCTGCCAACGTTTCGGACATACCCAAAGAAACTTCAAGACGATTCCAGTATGCTTCGAATGCGCCGGCCAACACTTAATGGTCGAGTGTAAAAGATCAAGACGATTGCCAGTGATGTTCTATAACTGCAGAAGAGACTAATGCGTTAGTGTTCACGGATGCCCAGTCTTTCCAAGAAGACAGGAAAAACATACTAAATCTACGCATTATGTCCCCCGAGACAGCCTCTGCCTCTCCCAAGAAGACTAGCAGGGTCTAATACAGCCAGGAGCGGCATCATCTACGCGAGATCCGCTCAAGCCAACAACAGGTCTATAACTGTTTTGCTCCATGGCCGAGGTAGGGGAGAGAGATAGTATTCCTAAAAAAGTAGGACGATGAGATCGAAGATACGGATGGTTCGGTTCCAGGAGCGGCTCATTCTTGCGAACTTCAAGCCCTAAGATTGGTTGAAAACGCAATCCATGAGATGAATCAAAGAAATACGTGCAAATCCTTTTAGTAGACATCTCGAGAGCCTTCTACACAAAATGATATGACTCAAACTCCCACTGAAACTAGTCAAATGGATTGGGTCCTACTCGAAGGGGTCGAACGTTCACAGTCAAGCTAGATAATATCGCTCTCTGGTAAGACAGATAGCGGCTGGAGTACTGCAGGAAGCAGTCCTTCCCGCACTCTTCATAACCTTTACGTCAGCGATCTCCCGAGAACTGACCACGTTAACGTATCTCCCTCTATGCAACTGACACCGCAATTTGCGTTTCTAATAGCTCAGCTAATAGCTGAGAAATGGTTCTCTTCAGCCCCCTATATCTGATAAACCAAAGCTTCCGGAGGATACGCCGAAATATGTCCAGTGAGGTCCAATATTGGTTTGCTATGTACATTTAGTTTTGAACGTCCTTATATTTTGTAAAAGTTGCATTTCGATAATTGAATGAATGGAAGCTTACAAGTTATGTAATTTTAAATTGCGTGTGCTAACAGATTAAAGGCGTTTTTTGGCGCTCATGTATTCAAAACATATTCGTCTGTGATTCAAATACATTCATTCTGGGTTGAAACGATGATGTCACATCAACTATGATTTGTAACGTAATCACAACCTCACATTAGCGTGAGGTTGGTTTTGAATCGGTAATTGACGTTGCGTTACGTCAGTTGTCAGTTATAGTCTCAGAGTAATGAAAAATTTATTACTCTGAGGTTTTGGTTTAAAAAGTGCTGAAAAAGTTTTATCAAATACGTTGTAAGGATGTACAGAATATAGCTGTATGCATAAACCCGATTTTAATTGAGGTTAAAGAAAATTGAAGAGTTTATTTTTATCGGTAGCGGTTGGTAGCCAGGCAGTTCGACGTGGGTGCTTTGTTCACTCACTCAAGTTGACTGCCGTGTTGGTCGGTGGTTCAAGCCCCAGTCTGAACGATCGATTTTCACTTGCGTTTTCACGTCCAACCCTTGTTAGGAGTCACACGTTAAAAGGTAAGACCTCGTTAATCCTTAGCTCTCACAAGTTTCGACTTCTGAGGGTTGTCGTTCGTAGGGATGCGACAGCTGGTTAACGGAAAAACAGATTTTAACAGAAACAGAACAGACAGATTATTGAATTTGACATCTGACCCAAATTGAATCATTCCATTCGGGCGAATCTTATTATTAATGGCGTCACTACAAATCTTTTTTGAATACACGTTCGAATACGATTAAACGCCAGAAAACACCTCAAATGTGGGGGTGTTATATTGGAAACCATGCTCTGTGTTTGCTGTCTTGAAGCAGTGTTATCAACCGTAGCGGAATTCCGCTACCGTAGAGGAATTTAGTCGATGATAGTGGCGTAGCTGATTTGAACTTAAAGTATCGGAATTATCTACAAATGATCAATATTAAAAAAATTATGGAAGAAGAAGAGGCAGTGAACAGCACTCGACGCTGACAGCTGACAATTGAATGCACAGTCAATACGTTCCAGTCCAACGATTATGGACATACAGGATTGCTTACTTACATATGTCGCCACGTTAAACAAGTGCCGAACAGATGTGACGTAACACTGGTGACACTTATAATAGCTGCCATGAGACTGTGTGTTATTTTAACATTTTTTGAGGATTATTTTCGGACAGTAATACATTGTTTTTGTTTATTTTGATTGAAATTTTATTTAACTATACCAATTAGGTTTCTGAAACATTGAGTTTGTTATTGTGAAAGTCTTATTTTTGTTTGTGCTTTTGGACATTTTATAAACTGGTTTAACGAGTAGACGCCATATAAGATTCTGTTATTTCCTTCCGTTTTGAGGTTTGTTTTTTGCCATTGTGGAAATTTTTTTTTGTTTTTTGTGAACATTTTTAAATTAAATTAAGGTAAAAATTGGAAATATTGACATTTTTGTAAGTAATAGCAATAACTGTTTAACTATTGGATAACCTTGGATTTTTTGTTGAAATGTCTGGTCGTATTTGTGCAGTGTCAACTTGCAAAAACAATCAGTTGACTTTAAAAAAAGTGGTGTTACTGATGTAATATTTCACTCTTTTCCTATTGCTAAGGATGTGGTTTCCACAACTTTGCGAAAAAAATGGATTTGTCGCTGCAAAAGAGGGGATACATTCACTCTCAAAAATGAATTTGTTTGTTCCAAACATTTTACAGAAAATGATTATGAACGAGACCTTGAAAATTAATTGTTAGGTAAAAACTTATTCTATTGATTTACTGGTTAAAATGAATATGTTTTTTTATAGGTTTGCCTTTGCGTCGTAAATTTAAAAAACACTGCAGTACCTAGTGTTAACCTAAATTATCCAACAATTGATAAAGAAATGGAAATTTTACAGAATACAAGTCACAATATTAGAACCTTACAGAAAAAACCCAATGAAACTATTAGTATGTTACTTGAATCAAATTTGGATAATTTTAAGCCATCCACATCTCAAAGTTGCTCTTCTCCTCATAATATTGTATCTCCTCAACCTCAAGCTGATCAACAAAATATATAAGGAGAATAATAAAAAATGAAAACCGTATCATGTATTTTCTGTCAGATGAATAAAAAAGTTGTTACACCTATAAACAATTCATTACCAATATATATTTATTATTATTAAGCTTTCATCATAAAAGATGGAACAAAAAGTTATGAATTTTTTTTTATATTGCTATTATCTAAAACAAAGTTCATTACAAAATTTTTGTGGAAGTTACAGTTTTCACGAAAATAATAAAAAACTTATGAAACCTCCTACTTTTAAAAAGGGCAAAATAGCTCGCCCTATCATTCATAAAAGAAAAATTTTCACTTAGTATTAATCCATTTATATTCAGTATTTATTCATATATAAAAATAATATTTCAATGAGGAATTTCCATGAAATTTGTTTATTTTAATTTAAAAGTGCAATACCGAATCAATCCAGAGTCACCACTGTTACGTCACGAGATCACGTGACGTGTCTAACAAAATCGCAAAAGTAAGCAATCCTGTACCGTCCATAGTCGTTGGCGCCAGTCTTAATAGCTGAGGCTATTACATGAATAAAGAGAAGAAGAAAATTTTTCATTTTTTTATCCATATAACCTCCAATATTTTGAAACTGTCTCGAGTATAAATTATATGAAACAATGGAATGGAAGATAGTTCATCTGATTATAGATCGAGTGAATGAACTAACACAATTTAAATTGACGGGAATGGGACATGTTCAAAAAATACAAAAAGGCTCGAAAACAAACTTTCTCAACATTAGTTGTCTAATTCTAACTTGAAAGGATAAAAGACCTGTCGCGAATGATCGTTCAAGAGCTGAGTGTATTGTCACAGTATTTTGTAAATACTGTGGTATTGTTTGCACTGTACTCTCAGTACTCTGTATTGTACTCGGTACACAAACCACAGAATAGTAAACATACTATGCTGTGACCTGTGACACAAACTGTAAGTTCTGTTTGATGATATCGCTCGTTTATTTGAACGTGGTTGACAGTGTTACGTAGTGTATTTCATAAGTTCGGACTTCTATTGTCTAATATAATATAAATTGATTTGAAAACCTTGAAAAAAACAATTACAAAATTAAAGATCCAATGATTTTATTGGACCCCACAAGACATATTTCGGTGTATCCTTTCCGAAGCTCTGGTCTATCAGATATATTCCTCACAGCCGTAGGGGGCTGTGGAGGAACAATATTTAGAGTCGTAGTGGGCTGTAGAGAATCAATCATTCCTCAGAGCAGTAGGGGACTGTGTGGTATGGTCAGTTTGTTAGAAACTCAAGTTTCTAAATGCACAAAATAAAACATTAATAAGATTAACCGAAAATAACAATTTTAATTAAAAAAAACTGAAATTACATACAAGCAACAACCAAACAAATAAAAAATTGAAATATTAATAAAAACTGAAAAATAAAAATTGTAAGTTCTGTAGTATTTGATTTTGGATAGGGCGCATGCGTGACTTGATTTGCGTCAGTGCGTGAGATATACAAGCGTAACGAAATATGAAGCAGTGTAACGGAATTTTGCTTCATATGCAACGACTTTATAGTTCGTCCAGACAACCAGTTGGCAACTCTGTCTTGAACGTACATGCGTTAACGCAAGTTAGAGTCGCAAGTAGGTATTCGGGTTTGGAATAAGAAGGGAACGTTTGTAACTTGTATATAGTATGGAATTATAGTTAAAGCGGTTAGAGTGTGTGTGTGTGTAATGATTTCATTCAGCCAAGAATAGAATATGGATGTCATGAAAAAGATAAGATAACCCCACGAGGCTGCATTGTTTTCCAGAGACTTCGGAAAAATGGGCGCAAGTCTCTAACGGCTCCCAAGTAGTAAAAAAATGTTACATTAAAAACCAATTGTGGGTTTTACTTTTTATTCATTACATTCAAAACAGGCCTACCAACAGCTACAAGTCTTAAGAGTTATGCATGTCCTAGAGCTTAACTGAAAACAGTTAATAACCAGGTACCATTTACACAAGGAGTCTATTATTGAAAAATTGTCTCTCTAATCCAGATCTATTCTAGTCTGTAAGGACAAGGTATTGCACTGAACTTTGCTATCCCTCATTTTGTTATACGAATATTTCAAATCCGCCATCGTAATGGGCCGAAGAGTATCATAGAATTTCTCTTCAGACTCGTTCTGGCTTGTGTTTGGATAGGCATGTTCAAAGTGGTCCCGCACATAGTCTCTCACTCTGTATACTGAAGCGTTTCGACACAGCTCCCTCAAGTCTGAGCCGGAAAAGCCATTTGTGATAGTGGCTAATTCATCATAGTTCACATCCTCTGCTATCGGTTCGTTTTCAAGGATCAATCTGGAATAGAAAACAGGCGTGCTGAAACTTTAAAAGAAAAAAAAACTTACAAAAAAGAATGAAAAATGTAAAGATTTTGTGAACCTGAAATTTGAATGGCATCGTGCTTACTTCAGGTCCTGTATTGGGGAAACACTGTTTCAAAAGGAAGTTTAAAGAAGCTGTGTATATACTGAATGACCTGTAGAGATCGGGAATGTTTGGAATCCTTCAATCAAGTGGGAAAACAGGTTAGAATTAAAAAAAATTAATATAGGGTTCAACTTCATAATAAGTCTCCAAGTGTCAATTTTATCCTTTAATAGTAGTTATTCAAGATATTAATTTTGAAAATAAGAGATTTTATTTTAAAGTTACAAACCAGAAATTTATCTTTCGTAACATCTTGAACTTGGCATAGAACAAGCCATTAACAAATGATGAAATTTGTCGAGTTTGAAGAGATTATTTTTGATCAAAAGTTTTGCTTTCTCACCAAAAAAGAATATTTTCCATCAAAACCGTGTAATGAAGAATGGTAAATATTGAACAGGTGAAGTCTAATGTTGAAGGTTAATATAAAAAAATAAATGGATGTGCAGTGGGTTCAAATCTTCGTTGAATTATTTCTTCTTTGTAATCACTGATCGTAATACTTGAAAATTCCTTGTATTCTGAAAATTATTTTCCACTCGATTTAAATTTACTCAAATCACCTTATAATTTCTCTGCGTTGTCCAAGATTAGGCATGGGTACATGAAACGTAGCCGGCATTCTTCTCAAAATAGCCCTATCCAAATCCTGAGGCCTATTGGTAGCCCCCATTATAATTACCGTGCAATTGGAATCTGTGATAAGTCCATCCCAGAGAGACATAAACTGAGCTTTCATCATGGCAGTTGCTTCGTGGTCGGAGCTATTACGAGCTCTCAGAAAGGAGTCAATTTCATCAATAAATATGATACAGGGTTGAAGTTTGACGGCTAGAGTGAAAACGGCTGATGCCAATTTTTGACTTTCACCATACCATTTGTCTGTCAGTATGGACAGATCTAGATTTATGAAGCGAGTACCAGCTTCTCGTGCGGTGGCTTTGGCAATGAGAGTTTTGCCGCATCCAGGTGGTCCATGTAGTAAAACGCCTGTAACAATCAATAGTTAGCAGAGGAAAAATATGTTACCATTTTTACTCATTGACAAACAAAATAAAAATCTCAAGTCAGCTTTCCGCTGGTTGAAGAATTTTTTTATTGAAATGCGAAAGATACATTATCTATCATTTTGGTTACTTTAAAATATCGACCTTGGGAAGATATTTATGAAACTTCAGGATTGTGAGAATTGATTATAAGGAATTTTGAAATTAGTTTTTTCATTATCAGTCCCCAATCTATTTCACATTGGTTACATTATTTATCACTGATAAATAATCAAAATTTGATTACAATTTTCTCTTGCATGTATTACATTCTAGTTCAGAGAAAATATTCATTTTCTGTGGAACGCCTTATACATATTATTTTGGATCACACAAAGATTGTATTATTTTTTTTGCAATATTCATTGTTATTAATTTTAGTTATTTTGCAGACAACTTTTTCACGGTTCCACCAAGTCCATCACAAGGTCCTTTGTTGTGAACTATTGGGTGGGGTTGATTTTGTTTGTTTATGATTTTATATGATGGAATACGATGAGTGAGTATACGAAATTCAGGAAACAATAAGTGCTGTATAGACTATCTGTTATATCTTAATGAAAATTTCATAAAGTTTAAATGGAAATGAAAGTGAAGATGAAAGTGGTCACTGCATAAATCCACCTTTGATCCATTGTAATATATTATATCTATGGGTAATCAAAAATGCTTCATCGTGAAATGAACTCCTGATGTTGCCAATTTGGTTGGGGTTCCATTTTTATTATTTTTCATATCGACATATTTGAATTGTAATTATAATTTGAAATTCATTATTTATTATGCTTTCCTGAAATACAGCAACTCCTCCACTTTTACTTTCCTGTTGTAAAAAAACAAGGATAGAAGCATATTACTCATTATTTATTTCAAGGTCAAATGATAGAAGCCAGGGAATCCCAGAGAAAAATGTTTACAAATTCTGTTTTTTTTTTTCCAATATGGAAATTGAAATTTCTCACACACACACACACACACACATAACAAAAAATTTGACAAAAAACCTGAAAATGCAAATCAGGATTCAAATGGAAAAAGCTGATGCAATATCCAAGTAGCTTACCTTTCGGAGCACTCGTGAGTTGTGAGTAAGCAAACAGCTCCTTCTTCTGAATGGGCAGTATGACGGTTTCCCTCAGTTCCTGGATAAGGTCCTCCAGCCCTGCAATGCTTTCCCATGTGACTGTGATGTCTTGCGGGTGAACTAAATGGGCTGCTATCATCATTTCGTAATCATTGAGTTTATCAATCTTTAGCGGAGCATTTCCGGTACTGGTCAATCTACATCAAACAATGTATATTAGCAGGTTTGGAAACAATTCAACTTCAAACTGAACCTTTTTAGCTGTTCCTTTGCTGTCTGTTTAGCCTTTTTCTTGCTTTTATTAGTCGGATCCACTTGGTTCATTATCCACTTGATACTAAAGAAAGTAACAGCCGAAACCAAGGTTAATCTCACCACAAGACCGAATATTTCATTTTTTGTAAAAGCGGTGTTAGACATTTTTCAGATATTATTCTATCCTGAAACAGTTAAATTTCACTTTCCCGCATGAGAAACATTAAGATTTATAGAAAATGAATATAAATTGATATTTTCGTTTTCAGAACATTTTCAATCATCACCAATAGCTATCCCTTTTTACTTTTCAATTTAACGAAGGGACTATTGGAAATGAAAAGAGTACTTTTTTTTACAGTTGACAGTTGACATATTTGACTGTTAACCACGGTTGCCACTCAATGTGTTTCTCAAAGTCAAGAGTTTCCAGCGGTTAAGGCCTATTTATACTTTTCCAAAGTTTCGCATTTTTCTTGCAGGTCGCAAAATAATCATTGCGTTGAGCATTCATACTCGTACGGCATATTTTCATGAGAATATTTTCTCTGACATCAACGGTCATTATCTTTCAATAATGGAAAATCACAACTCAGAAATTATTCTGTGTGTTGTTTACGATAAGCAATACATATTGAATGAAAACGGTTTAAAGGCGAGTCGAAACATTTTCAGGAAAAATAGTTCAGCATATCAATCTTGAAGTCACAGTCAGCCATTCTGCAAGGGGCATGGGTTTTGTAATATTAAAAGACTGTAACAATCTTGCCTCACCATCAATTCATCAAATTGAAAGCAAGTTACACGAAAGCAGTTTGAATTGAACTTTAATGAAATTTCTCAGTCAACAGTGGTCTAAACATAAACTTTTATATTCATCTTACTACTGAACCTAATGTAAAGTTTTTTTTTTATGAAAAATGCAGCAAAATAATGTTCCACTATCCGTATAAACCTACACACACATAATTGTGTACATGATAATTTAAAGTCCGGATAGGAACTTGTCGTGTGTTTCGGCTTCGACTTTGAAGCCATTTTCAAGAAGCTTTTACCACACTGAGGCCTCAATCTGTCTACTCCCTAGGTCTTGTCGTTTGTGTCACAAGGGCCTGAATCTGCATATTCCCAAGCGTCAATTGTCGGTCCATCAGTTCTGATCTGATTAACGGAAAAACAGATCAGTTCTGGTCTGGTATTTTTGTCCCTGGACAAGTAGAGGGGAAACCGGTAGTGGGGGCGATGATGGAATGGATAATGGAAATGAGGTTATTGCATACCCACCAAGATCCCCCTGAGTTGAGTGCCCTGAGATATCCTATAGAGAGATAATCTTTCCCACACGGTTACTGTGTACAGAAGCTAGAATCTCGTCCATCCACCCCCGCTCATTGCTGAGTGGGGTTGGATGGGCACTTCAGCAAGATTGATTTCTGACCTACTGCTGTCGAAAGTCAGCCTTTAGATGCTTATACTTTCTTCATCTGTTAATTTTATTTATCGCGACTTTACTGAATGTAATTTTTGTATGGGTCCTTCTTGAACTAAACGGAGACAAGTGTTGTTTGGGCGAACTGGTGTTTGTTTGTATATCTGAAAAAAAAGTGAGTGTTAGGTCTGTTTATACAGTTTTTATACTTACCGGAGCCGCCTGATAGCGACTCACGGGGTGGTCTCTGGTGGTTATGGCACAGTAGAATACTAAAAGACCCACAGTAGTATTACTATCCCCACTTTTTGATTATAAATCACAAAGCGCATAATCAAATCGTAGAAGGTAGTTTTTGAATACACCGTGAATTGACTCAATAATCGGCAACGTTGTCATGTCGCTTTTGACCTATTAGATTGACGACGTTTCTCTTGTGGAATCATGACAAAGAGAAGTTTTGTTGTAAATAATATGACCACTACGACAGAAATATTCCAAGTTTTGATTTATTTTATATTGTATTCGTATTTTTGAAGATATGAAAACAATGTTTGAAGAAATGAAAGCTTTGAAAGAAAACAACAAAGATGTTACCAATAGGATAAAGTTTGCAAAGGAACGGCAAATAACGAATTCAGCATTACTTAGTTTATGGTAATTCTGAAAGATAATAGATTGAATAGGTTGAAAATATAATATTTTGTTCTTATTTCTAAATGTATTCACGAGGTGTATTTGTAGCAGATACAAATTATATATTTTCATCCAAGGCTCAATGAATAAATAAATGAATAATTGAATTTAAGTGTTTTGTTCTCATTTAAAGCACATTTTCTGGATGTCATCAACCAAACAAAAAATGTGCCAACACTCATTTCCAACAATAATCAGATTATTAGAAGATTTTATTATTTTTTCAATGTGTAGTTATTGAATTATTTTTTAAACGCAATCAAAGATTTTATCAGGAAACCATATATCGAATATTCTTGTATTGAACACTATAAAAATATAATTATTTCTCCTAGTGTCGTATATAGTCCTAAATCGATACAGATGATGAGTGATTCCAATAGCTTTGATGATACTCATGATATTTAGAACGACCAACGTGGTATATATGCAGTAAAGAGTGTAGCGAGAGATTTCTTTGAGAAAACTAACAACAGTTCATATATCATTTGCAGTGTAATACAATAGTTGCAGAAGATTCCTAAACCCTTTCACATTCATTCCTCAATTTTTCATTCATTAGAAACTCTTCGACACGCTTCGGAACTTTGTTCGATTTTATACGTTCTATATTATTTATACAGTATGCAAAAATATTGCATTTCATCAGGTTCTGAGATATATTTGAAGTTGCAAGTCCCTTTAGCTTCTCGATAACTTATTTCAAATAGATTTTAAAATTTGAACCAAACACACAAGGAGCGAGTAAAACCTTGGAACAATTTGAATGAAAAAATTCAAAGCGTTTCATAAAATTCTACATTACTACAAAACATCCATCCATCCATCCAAAACTATGAGACACAAACATCAAAGGTTCCAATAAGAGCACTACTGGTTTTAGCTATACTGTGGCTAATGGCCTATCTCTACTGTCAATTTTTATTTGAAATCTGTAAGCGATTTCTTAGATTCATCGATCGATCCGATAGATTCATCTGTTGGTTCATTGGAAAAATTAGCGCGTTTCTATTGGTTGAAGTAATCTGTTCAATTTAAGAACTCGCCTCCTTCAAAATCTGTCAATTGTCAATGTATCACTAAGTTGTCAAAAACGCGAAGTCGATATGTCAACTATCGTTCCATCTTTTCATTCCAAAATGTTGCTCGTTTTTTGTTGGAAATGATATGTGTCTCTCTTCAAAGATTGTTGTTCATGAAGGACAGATGTAACCATGTAACCCGATCAATCTGAATTACTAGTACTGAAACACTGGGACTGCAAACTAGACAGAAGACAAAAGACTGGAGGAAGTAGGAAGGGGTGAATTTAACGCCGTTTGACAGTACTCAGTGCTCTATATTCATAAAATTTTTATGAAAAGTGATAAGTTAGAGAAAATTTACGGGAAACGAACCTGGTGTAGTTTTTCTGTGATCATATAGTGCAATTATTATTGTAGTTTACTAATTTATGCCGAAATCGGGAACTTCAAAAATGCTGGAAATGTCCGACATTTCCACCTGATGTAAACATTGTTCCAGTAAAATATTCATTTTTTTAAGAACACCCTCTGCTGGTGATCATCCACGAAACCACCGAGAAATACTTCGATTCAGCTCTTTCGATGTCGCGATGTCTTTTTGTACAGAATGCGCTGAATATAAAATTAATAATATCGCGTGTAAAAAACTTGAGGAAGCTGAAGATATTTTATGGGTCACTGTTTTAGTGGTGGAAGATCCCAGAATAGATTTCATCAGAAAGGTAACTAACGCTCTGTATTTTATTTCGTTCTTTGTTGTGTCTCTGGTCTCTTGGTGAGTTGATAAGCTACTCGATTTAAGGGGGCTCATAGCTTTTAAAAAAGCCTACATCTGATTGTTATGAGAGATAAAATGTTATTAGTTCGATATCTATATATGTTAAAGTGGATTAGAATTATCGTCTTTGCACTACAGCTAATTATAGTAAATATTAGCCCTGTGAAGTTTTCAGAACCACTCTGAATTATCGAATTGTCACTATCAATTTCAGGTCCAAGTTTCAGGTACTAATTTCAGGCTGATTTTGAACTTCATTTCCAATTTTTTAAAATTTTTGTCGCAGAGAATCGTGAGTTCTGCTAGCGGGACCTAACTATATAACAAATTTGTTAAATGAGATTACGCCATAATTTCAGGCACCTATTCCACCCTATTGCTGATTTTCCGTGTGTTCAAAAAAATTGGTGGGTGCTGCTTACTTTACTGTTAAGCTGGCAAAGCCAAAAAAACATCTTTCCATGTTTGAAATATTGTATTTGCTATTATTTCTTTCATTACCCTATTTTTTTTTTTTTTACTTTTCATGTATTAATTGAAAATCAGTGTGATTACCTTAGATGCACATGGTAAAAAGGAAAATATTTTTTATTGAAATATTGAAAAATGTGAGTAATCAAAATATCATTATAATTTCAGATTATTGGTCAGGTTTCTATTCTTGCCTCTTTCCGATTCACCATCTTCGATTGTTGCAGATTAATATTTTTCAAAAAGGAAAAGATTTTGATTTGTTTCTGTCAAGTTTCTCAGTTCATTCAAATTTTTCCTATACTCGAAGATTATTTTGAAACAATTGTTTTCACTCGTACCATGTGTGATTGATATAATCACCATATATTCAGTTTGAATGAGGAGCAAGAAATTGTTCAATAGGAATGAAAGTCTGAAATGATCATGAAATTATTGAGAATTCAAAATTTCAAAGAAGCAAGGATTTCAATTTCGGTTCTGATAGATTTTGATCAAAAATATATTCGCTAAAACTTGTATAAGTCACGGGTTAATGCAAGAATCATCCCAGTGGTACTCTACTATACTTTCATTAATAATAATTTTTCTTGCATATCTTATAATTAATTTTTGAATATATTAGAAAGTTAAACATTAATAAAATAAATTTTAATAATGTAATTAAAAATAGCCCTTAAAAATAATAATTTTAACAGGCATTAATAATTCGCAATTCCAATACTTTTTTTAAATGTTGATATTTAATTATACCTCTTAATTTTTTTTATTCTGCATTATTGTGATAAGTAAAGGCATTCTAAAGTATATTCACTATTTAATACCTTCAATCGAACAGAAAAAAAATCTTAAAGTATGTGGGTCACAAATGAAACATTGAGACTAAATGGGTTTATCAAAAATTTTATGAGTTGTGTATAATTTTGCCCAAGTGGTACAGTTACAGTTCAAATGTGGCAGGTTTAACAAAAAACATGGTTCGTTTTATTATTTGAAGGGTGTTCAAACCAAGTTCAATTCAATTGGAACGCAACATATCTCTACATTCAGTGGTGTTTTTTAAAGACGAAATTGAATTCAAAGTGACTTTTTGATGTCAGTCATTTGAAACCGATGTTACAAGAGGTATTGATAGATTATATAACAGATATATAAAAATGTCAGTGTCTCAATGTGACATGAAAACTTCCCAGTTTTTTATAATATCTCCTGATTTCCCAAATACACAGAAACTTTTTCTTCAACATACAAACCAATCAAAATACCAAATGTAGGTTTATAATAATAATATATTTATTTCAAATAGGCATTCTAATATACAAAAACATTTTAAAATTGGATAAACAAAGTCACAGTCCAACTTCATAACACTTGGTCAGGGATCCTCAAGTTATCAAGGTATCATCTGCTATAATAAAGCACTTAAAGCTACTTGCATATATTATCTGTCACTGTTCTTGCAACTTTTATTATGTCTACTTAACTTCTAATAACATGTATATACACACTAACTATAGATAAGCACAATTGCTTTATGTTCGGTTCTGACTAGTCTGATAAAGTTTTATACTGTATGTACCACATGTATAAAATCTTTTAATGATGAATAAATTTCTATTCTATTCTATTCTATGCTCGGAATTATCCAAGCATTCAATAAATCGAAAAAATAACAATGTAAATCACAAATACTAGATATATATGTTATTATAATATCAACATTAATGTGGATGTTGTATCTTCAAATGAATAGTAAGTCCTTTTTTGAATGTCATAATAGATTCACTTTGTTTTATCTCAAGCGGGAGGTTATTGTAGTCCAATAGTCCTTTATGGAATAAGGAGTCCATGGATCCTGTAAAGTTCAACGTGGTACATATAAATTAGAAATCCCCCTAGTGTGGTAATTATGAATTTGGTGATGGAAAACAATGAATTGGTCAAAATATGAGGGTACATTACTGGATAATATTTTGAAGATGAATACCATGGTAAAATAGAACAGATGTTCTTTCACAGAAAGCCAATCCAGAACTTCCAACATTGTTCAAGACATTCTTATAAGGTAGCCAAAAACTATTCGCGACTCCCATTTTTTGTTAATTTCTGAGTTAAGTGTTCTCATAGGGGATATCGGCAATAATAAAAAAAGCATTTTTCAACATCTTTTTGAAAACTCCCGAACAAAATGAAACAATTGGAAAAGATTTTTCATTTCAACAGTAGGTATAACATTCAAAAAGCTCAACACATCCAAATAATCAGGAAGAAACCAAATAAATAAATATGGTATTCGTAATATCAGTCAAATGATGCATCAGTTGTGATATGAACATTCTGTATTCTGTCAAAGTTACTGTACCAATTTTTCATGAATTACTCTGCTTACAATGGGGTTCCATTATTTCTTATTAGGAATTGCCTTCCCCATCATTTTATATCCAAAATTTATTTGTTATGTGCATTCTTCAATGGTACCAATATAAGACGTTCAAATATAGACTCGCTGTGTTAAAACCTGTTCAATATTCGATTGTTCAACGTAAAACAAAATTCAAATGGGAGTCCAAAGTTAAGTGAGGTTCAAGCAAACCTAGACTTGAACTTCGATTATACAGGGTATTTATTGAAGATGCGGCAAAAAAATTAAGAGACTCTTCCTTGCACTATTCTAAGGATATTTTGATAGGGCCCTTTGTTTCGGAGATACGGGGTGAAAAAGAAGTTCGACAATAACAATTTATTATCAAAAATTACATGTAGAACGGGCCCTTAAATGTTTGATTTGTTTATTGGGTTCGCCTATTGACATCAAGTATATGATGAGCTAATGAATGAATTATAAATTTTTCAGAAAATGCAACGGGTACCAGTGCTCTAAAAATAACGCCATATGAGACAAACAGTCTGTGTTACGTGAAAGGACAATCCGTTAAACTTGCCAGAAGTGGAATGGCCACGTCATTCTCTACTATGAACATTACGAATCCCCTCAAAGGACTTGTGAGTAAAAGAAGAAACCGATATAAGAAGGATGGCTTCAATTTAGACTTGACATGTATCCTTTTTATTGAATTCTTTATTACTACTTGTGAAGTATAAAATGTAACAGGTTGAATCGTTTGACCAGAACCAATATCCGTTGTGATATAGAGTTAGGAAAATAGTTAATTCGTCCATGAACCTATTTCTGGTTTCATATAGTACTGGAATAAAAATGTCAAGATTTTTCAAGGCATGTTATATTGTTAAGAATTGGGAAAAAAGATTTCTCTAGCAATACCGCAATTTACTTCTCAATACAGATACCCTCGGAAACCTTAAAACATGCAAGTGCTGATGAACATAAATATACTATATCATTGGATAAGATAAAACCTCTCTAGATAATTCATAACTTGGTGTATTGATGAATTTTCTGATTATAAGCTGTACTGACCTTCTCAAAGTTATTTATATTATGTTGTTGTTTTCCGTGATGCAGTTTTATGGCAGAGTATGCACTGTTAGGTTTACTGCATATTAGTTTTGAGTATTTAACCTAGTTCATTCTATTTGAGTCAGTCTTTATGAAACGGTCGTAAAATTGAAGTGTGTTATTATTTATAGATGAATTGCAATTCCATTCATTTTTGTGTGTCTACAAACAATTTATATAATGCTTCGTAAACTAGTCTAGGTTGTCGAAGTAGTCACAAATGTAATCATCTTGATTTTGGCAAAAATTGGAAGCTTGAAGATTTTCCATATCCTAATCGGTGATGGTCATCTTCAATGCCTATTCTCAGCAAAAAATTTAGAATGTTTGATAGTTTTAATTATTCAAGTCATGGAGTTTGTATATATGTGTGAAGGAAATTTACCGAACTCTTTGCCCATCATTTTCAAAACACTGCAATAATTTGGAAATGAAAAGAGTACTTTTTTTTACAGTTGACAGTTGACATATTTGACTGTTAACCACGGTTGCCACTCAATGTGTTTCTCAAAGTCAAGAGTTTCCAGCGGTTAAGGCCTATTTATACTTTTCCAAAGTTTCGCATTTTTCTTGCAGGTCGCAAAATAATCATTGCGTTGAGCATTCATACTCGTACGGCATATTTTCATGAGAATATTTTCTCTGACATCAACGGTCATTATCTTTCAATAATGGAAAATCACAACTCAGAAATTATTCTGTGTGTTGTTTACGATAAGCAATACATATTGAATGAAAACGGTTTAAAGGCGAGTCGAAACATTTTCAGGAAAAATAGTTCAGCATATCAATCTTGAAGTCACAGTCAGCCATTCTGCAAGGGGCATGGGTTTTGTAATATTAAAAGACTGTAACAATCTTNAGTAACGTTAGTTACAAATAAAAGTGGTAAAAAACATAAAAAGTTTCATTTCTTTTTTCTTCAACAGATTATGCTTCTCATTGTAGATGTCTAGATTACAAATAATATGTTAAAATTCACTTTTGATGCATTTCTCCAATCAATTGTGCTGTACTTCATACCAATAATAAAGGTATTCATAATTAGACGGTTATAACAAGATTTTCAATGTTTTCTTTGGATCCCGACTTATAAATAGGTTTCATATAATTATTTTTCCAGGAATCTGGGAAAATGCCAAACTTTATGTAATTATTGATCTAGTATAGATAAAGGTTGAGTAAGAGTGCAAACACAGATTTTTATAAAAGTGAAAATGGTGAAAATAGCCTCTTTAAATTTTGGAATTAAGGACCTTTTGAAATACATAATTCTCCTAAAAGGAAGATGTGCCAGGAACAGGCATTGTGCCTTAACATAAAAATGGTTTTCAGTAGATCACAGTCTACAATTTATTTTTATTACATATTATATAACACTGCACTATTATGTAAAGTTGTATGTAAGAATTTGGGCGTAACTCTAGGTAACAAACTTAGTTTTGACAAACATATAGACTCGGTTTCCCAGAAACCTCTGGAAGTGCTTGGTTTCATTTTGGGATCATCTAGCGATTTTTCTGTTTACACCTCTGAAGTTTTATACTGCTCCCAGAATAATGTACAATTCAGTACTGTAATTTGGACATGAAACACATTCTGAAAACTGAGAAATAAAACTTTTTATGTTTTTTACAACTGTAGGTGATAGTAGAGGTCCTTAACTTGATTGAGCACCTGAAATTTGTTTACCTGCGACAATTCGGATGCGCTAATTTGAAAATTGATGAGTAAACTAGATCTATTTGATCATTTAGCAGATTACATCCTCAATGCATATGCTTATGAATTTCTAAGGATGCCAAATAATTGAGTTTCCAACCTTGAGAAAAAACTTCTGTATCGTTTAGATTCGGGAACTTGTGGTTGCATTACAAGGAATGGTTTGCAAACGTCGAATCATTTTCACCTAGTCTGAAGGATCTTTCATGTTGAGCATACCGTTTTAAGAAATTTCAACCACATTTTTACACATAAACAGTATTACACTCCTGACACTTAAGCTTGTAAACTCTAGATTTCTCCAACTTGTCCACTTCATCATTGGCATTAAAAAGTAAATAAGATAATCAAATTTTCAAAATTTAATCAAAAAAGCTTATTATTTGATCCATGAATTCTACCATGATAACCTATAATGTTCACCTAAACTCATCTGTCTTCTTAATGTTTTATTTGTGAAATTGCTATGTTTGTATTTTTTATATTTTATGTCGCGTATGTTTTATTTGTGAAATTGCTATGTTTGTATTTTTTATATTTTATGTCACGTATGTTTTATTTGTGAGATTGCTATGTTTGTATTTTTTATATTTTATGACATTCATTTGATTTTTTTACAAGACTTTGTCAATAAGATACTAATCTTCCGACAATAAAGCATATTGATTGATTGATTAATAATCTGGCATGTGGTCTGAATGTCATTTCCACGATGTTTTTTCTAAAGAAATCCGCAATTGTCTCTGTCCTTCTACCAAAATATGTTATATTACTACAAATTTCTTGATTTCTGGTTGTTTGATTTGGAGGTATATTAATCTGTAAGTAAATTTGAGCCTTTTTTTCTGACTAACTTCTGGATTGTGTCTGCGTTGAAATCATTATTATGTCCAATCTGTATGATTATTTAAATTTCCCTCTCTAGATTGTTAGCGGAAAAAAGTAGCGAGAATGCTCTGTTCAACATTGAATTGTAGGCTGCTAATTTATGACTGTCGGGATGGAAAGAATCACTTGAGATTGCAATGTCTGTCTGACTTAGTTTTCTATATACACTGAACCTGAATTTATTCTGATTATGTGTAATGGTCAGGTCTAAGAAATTAATCTGTTTTTCTATCTCCGTTTCGAGTGTTGACTGTATGTTTCTATTGAGATTTAGTAATAAATTGGTTCAGTTGTCGTGTAGTACCTCTGAAACAGGCGAGAATGTCATCTACATATCTGTACCAAATATGAATAAGTTTTTTACCCAGGACGCAATTTACTATAGTGGTCTCCAAGCTGTTCATAAATATGTCTGCTAAAAGTGGACTAAGAGGTGAACCCATTGGTAAACCTGAATCCTGTTTATAACATTTGTTGTTAAACTGTAAGTACCTCTAATTTAGACATACATCGAAAGCTGCTGAAATTTTAGGGCACTAATACAGAAACAAAAACATGTCTCACATAACCAATCAGTCAAACCAGATATCCAATTCAGCTAAAGAATCATTAATTTTATATTGTTGGTATTTTTGTTTGTTCACTATCTCTATTATAATATAACCTTGTCCATTATGTTAATGTGTCATTGTTTGTTTTGTATCTTCACATTCAGTAAGACTATATATATATATATATATAAGTACTTGATAAAAATAGCTGCGTAAACGCAAGCGAAACATAAGTGGAACCACCTATCGGTGTGACACACAGAGTCAACTTGCCAAGTTTTTATATCAGTGTTAGTGGTTTGACCAATCAACCGACAACTGCGGTAGCAGAAATTTGGGAAGCTAACCTGAAATGCCATCGAAAAAAAAAAAATTATATTTCTTTATATCTAAATGTTCATTTTTGTTCTAGTTGAGTGTCATTATTGTTTGTATGACAATGAGATTGGAACCTTTGGTGTGAAAGTTGAATAAATAACTTTTTTTGAGATCAATTGCCCCAACACCAAACGCACTTGACGCGCGTTTCGCCAACAAAGTTAGCATCCTCAGGAGAAGAAAATTGATACCTAGTCTAGTTAATCCTTATATACTAAAATGTGTTACCTGAGGTTGTATACCTGAAGTCCAATATGGAATTTCTCGGTAATTAACTACCTGCACAATGCTCCTTGAAGCGGGTTTTAATCGCTCGTCGGCTCTGGCCGATGTATTTGCTGCTGCAATCTTGACAACTGATTTCGTAAATCCCCGACCTTTCTGTGTTTTCTAGTCTATCTTTTGGATTACCAAAAAGCTGTTGCAATTTATAAGAAGTTTTGTATGCAACTTTCATATTTACTTTATCAAATATATGTTGAAGCCCTCTCGTGTATTGGGGATCATATGGGATTACTATAAACTTGTTATTACTCTCCTCTTTTTGAAAAGTCGAAGATTTACGAAGTGCTTCCCTAAACTTGCATTTTCTAATTATCTTGTCAACTATATCTGGGTTAAAACCGTTTGCTTCAGCTACATACCGAATCACTCTCTAAAATTCTATTTCGTTCTGTTCGTTCCTTATGACCAATACATCTAAAAACGGCAACTTTCGTTCTTTTTCTACTTCATGTGTGAATTTTATACTCTTACACCTGTTGTTTAGTGCTGAAAGGACATTCTCAATTCTGGTTATCCTTGTATCCACTACAGCGAATATGTAATCAACATACCTTATCCAGATCCTAGGGAAGTAACTGAGTTCTTCCCCAGTTTCCGTCTCAAACCTACCCATGAATAGGTTCGCTATAAATGGAGACAATGGGTTACCCATAGCCGTTTCTTCACGTTCATAATATGAGTCATTATATTGAAAACAATTGTGATCCATGCAAAACTTGGTGAGTTGAATGTATTCTTCAACAAACGGTTTTAACCCAGATATAGTTGACAAGATAATTAGAAAATGCAAGTTTAGGGAAGCACTTCATAAATCTTCGACTTTTCAAAAAGAGGAGAGTAATAACAAGTTTATAGTAATCCCATATGAACCCCAATACACGAGAGGGCTTCAACAGGTATTCGATAAAGTAAATATGAAAGTTGCATATAAAACTTCTTATAAATTGCAACAGCTTCTTGGTAATCCAAAAGATAGACTAGAAAACACAGAAAGGTCGGGGATTTACGAAATCGATTGCAACAGCAAATACATCGGCCAGAGCCGACGAGCGATTAAAACCCGCTTCAAGGAGCATTGTGCACACATGAAATACGGAAGGATAGAAAAATCCAGTGTCGCCCAACATGCTCTAGACAAGGACCACAGAATTGGTGAAAACAATCTGAAACTATTAAGCATGTGCATGACACCAGGCTACTCGATGCATGTGAGAGTCTAGAAATAGCAAAATGTAAGAACAGCATGAATGGCGATAAGGGACCCATCCCGTTCTGCCCGCTTTTTAATCTTCTGTTAGAAAGAGAATAATTACCAAGAACTTGCAGGTAGTTAATTACCGAGAAATTCCATATTGGACTACAGGTTTACAACCTCAGGTAACAAATTTTAGTATATAAGGATTAACCAGACTAGACTAGGTATCAATTTTCTTCTCCTGAGGATGCTAACTTTGTTGGCGAAACGCGCGTCGAGTGCAACAATATCAGTTTGGTGTTAGGGCAATTGATCTCGAAAAAAGTTATTCATTATTGTTTGTATGTTAGGGTGCCCTATTTCTAAATAAATTGTTGTTGAATTTTACTTTTTGTAAGTTTCAATTCTTTGTAAACTGAATTAGGGTTTTTCCGTTGGTTATTAAATTAATAAATAAATATAATTACACTCTAGATTTTAGCTTTAAAAAGTTTGACCGTAATAATTATTTCTCATGACATTAAACATATCTCTCTCTAGCGAGGATCAATTCGGATTTCAAAAACGCAAGAATACGAATGATGCCATATTGGCGCTAATGACCAAAGTCTACAAACGAATTAATGAAGGGCAATCAACCGCGGCAATATTCTGCGACCTAACCAAGGCCTTTGATTGCGTAAATCACCAAATTCTGTTAGACAAACTTGATTATTATGGTTTCAGAGGAATTAGCCTGCAGTGGTTTAGATCTCACCTAGAGAATCGTAGCCAGTTAGTAAAAACGGACCACTATTCACGTATTGGAGCTACTAGATGTGGTGTGCCTCAGGGTTCGGTACTGGGACCTATTTTATTTTTGTTATATGTCAACGTTATCTCCCATTTGAATATATCTGGGAGGTTCACGTTATTTGCAGATGATACCACTATACTTTGGCACAGTAGTGATGAAACATCTTTACACAATGTCATACAACGTGATCTCGAAACAATAAGAACGTGGTTTGACAATAATCTCCTTGTACTCAACATCTCCAAAACTAACTTGTTAACCTTCAAATGTGAATTGGACGCAATCATTCTTGATTCAACTAATATTGACAACTCCCCCTGCACAAAATTCTTGGGTCTTCATATTGACAGTAACCTGAGATTCGATGAACATGTTAAAAAACTGTCTAAAAAACTATCCTCTGGGTGCTATGCCATTAGAGTCATCAATAATGAGATAGGATTTGCAGCAGCAAAATCTGCCTACCATGCATTAATTGAATCGCATATAGGTTATGCAATTGCTTTTTGGGGTGCATGCAATAAAAATTTATTACAGATGATCCAAGTTGTACAAAAAAGAGCCATTAGAGCCCTCTTCAAGATTAAGAGTCGCAAATCGTGCAAAGAATACTTTAAAAATCACCAAATCCTCACAGTGATCTCTATTTTTATATTGGAAACATCTTGTTTGATTCATAAGCACCGTGATCTATGTAAAGAAGCGTCATCGTCTTACAATACTCGATCTTCCCAAAACTCGACTCTTATGTTGCCTATACCCAAAAGTCGCCTCGTAAAGGACTCTATTATATATAACGGCTTGAAAATATACAACTACCTTCCAGCAAGAATTAGGGAAATCAAGAATTATAATAGATTCAGAGGTAGTGTGAAGGTTTTTCTCTTTGATCATCCCTTCTATAGCTTGGATGAATTTTTTATAGCCACATTATCTGAATGAACTCATCCATATCTGTCATTGCTGAGTCTCAATTATGTGAATATGTATGTATGGATGGGTGTATATATATATGTACCATTATTTACTCTAATTTGATCAGATCCTGTGTTTATACATCTGTAAGTGTTATTTTAACAATATTTTAACATACATCCATGTACGACAACTGACTTTGTCAACAAGAATTGTATTCTTTCGACAATAAAGCATATTCTGATTCTATTCCCTTAACTGTCTCTCTCAGATATAACCGACAACATCATAGCCATGGGTTATCCAGCTTCGAACATCGAGGGTGTCTACAGGAACCACATCGACGACGTGGTGAAATTCCTCGACAAAAAACATCCCGACCACTACTACATCTACAACCTATGTTCGGAGCGTAGTTACGACAAGGCCAAGTTCCACAACAGGGTAAAGATATTTCCCTTCGACGACCACAACCCTCCGAAAATCGATTCGATTCAACCGTTCTGCAACGATGTAAAAGAGTGGCTCTCCCGGGACGAAGCCAACGTGGCGGTTGTCCACTGCAAAGCCGGTAAAGGCAGGACGGGCACCATGATATGTTGCTACTTGTTGCACAGCGGCATGTTCGACAGTGCGGACGAGGCCCTAAACTACTACGGCCGGACGAGGACTCAGGACAAAAAAGGTGTGACGATTCCTAGTCAAGTGCGCTATGTGCGGTATTACGAGACTCTGTTGAGCAACCGGCTTTTCTACACGCCGGTATCGATGTACATTAAGGAATTCATTCTAAACCCAGTGCCCAATTTCACAGGCGGCCAAGGCTGCCTCTCCTTCACGATATCGCACCAGACGCTGCTGCAGGAAGGAGAGAAGCTGACGCAGAAGTGCAAGAAACTCAGGAAGAACGACGTGTACGAAGTTAAGAGAAGCGACGCCCCATTTTCGATCAAACTCGACTACTGTCTGCCTCTGACGGGCGACATCAAGGTCGAGTTCTTCAACAAGACTATGATGCGGAAGGAGAAGCTCTTCCAGTTTTGGTTCAATACGTTCTTCATCCAGGACCTGGACGTGAACGGGTTTTTTGACCGGAACGGGGGAGTGGAGGAGCTCTGCTACGTGCTCGAGTTTGAAAAAAACGAGCTGGACATTGTCAACAAAAAGGATAAGCAGAACAAGGTGTTCCAAGCTGACTTTAAGGTAGATATTATTTGTTTGTAAAACTGAATTGACTAAGGAGTATGAGCTTAGTTCATGGTTAGCGAAAAGCACGTTGAGGAACTGTATTTTTTTAACAGAAGGCTGTCATTCTTGGTTCATTGCGCTTGCTCAGGGCACATGATTCTCGTACCCAATGATCACTTACCTCATGGTATGGGGAGTAGTTAGAACTTGGTAATGGTGGCTCGCTATCCAAATGTTTCATGGCTTAAGAATAAATTCTTGTTACAAACACAATGTCATAAATAAATATCAATATAAACATTATAAGATGTGAAGTATAAGTGTATAACATATAAATGATTAAAATAAAATATAAACTATATATACATACATATGCAGAGGTTACTCGACAAGAACTAGGACAACGAATAAAAATATATGTTTCACACACAGTTCAATCACAGTTTCATCACATTCTAAATTACAGGGCATCGTTAAAATATTCTTGTAGGTCATAATAGGCTTTATCACTTAATAGTTAGGTACATTTCTTTCTAAATATGATGAAAGGAGTCTCTTCGATTTCATTGGGAAGTTTATTGTATATCCTGATTCCATTATATATCAACGAGTTTTGAATCAAACATGTTTTTGGAATTGGTACATTCAGTTCATTTGATGTATGGTATGTGGCTGTAGCTGTAGATTCATAGTCCTCCCTATTTTTATGTATAATTGACACGGTTTCCAATATAAATATTGAAATAATCGTAAGGATTCTATGTTCTAGAAAAAATGGGTTTACATAAATCCCGCCATTACCTAATAGCCCTTTTTTGCAAGATAAAAACCGACTGCATAAGTTGTTTACTGCAAAAACCCCAAAAGAGTCTACCATAACTTAGATGAGAGTCTATTAAGGCATAATACACTACTTTCGCTGCAGCAAATCCCAGTTCCTTTGAGATGTTTCTCAGTGCGAAACATCCTGATGCCAATTTTTTGTCGATGTGTGCAATATGCTGAGAAAATTTTAAATTTTCATCTAAAATAGGGTATTGTTTAACAACTTGGACGCGCCAATGTATCAAACCAGGCAAAGATTCAGCTTTAAATTACCGCTGCCTTCTTCGTCGCTAGTTAAAGATTCCATTATTTACAACGGTCTTAAAATGTTCAATCACCTTCCTCAAGCTATAAGAACCATAAATGAAAGAGTTGAAAGACTTGCTCTCTGGGAGACTTTATTATAGCTTAGCAGAATTCTATGATGATCATTTTAATTGAGAAGACTAACTGTAATATCTACGGTATTTTATTGATTTCATGTCATTCAATTTAGTTTAAATTGATTTATTTACATTTTGTTGACCATGTTCTTATATCCTGAACGTTTGTTATTATTTACATGTCTCTTTTCAGTTCATGTTATAATAGATATTTCAAATTGTTTTTCTTCTCGCATATCACAATATTCTTCTGCTATAACAAACGACATTTCCTGTAATGAATTATGAGCAAATATGGCTGTGCCACCATGTATATAATTGGTCCTACAGTAGTTGGACAGAAGATGGTGTTATTTATATTTCGCACAAGGCTTTGTCAATAAGAATTTATTCTTCAGACAATAAAGTATATTAAAAAAAATAAATAAATAAATTCCCAAAAATTTCAAAGTGGAGTTATTTTTTATTGTGTTACTGTCTAGGGGAATATCAGGTATATTACACTTGAATGCTTATATATTTGTTTTGCTAGTATTCAATGATAGAAGATTGGAGTCAAACCAATTCTTCACTTTTTTCATGTCTTGTCTGTCACATTTTTGTTATGCAATCTGTTTTTGTCCTTGTCATGCCACACTAATGTGTTGTCGTCAGCAAATAAGGTAAAGCTTCCTGTAATCGATATGTTGGTCAAATCATTAATGTATAACAGAAACAGAGCCTTGAGGTACTCCACAATTTATCTCTCCCACGTCTGAGTTAGATGACGTTCTTAGAAATTGTTTTCTGTCAGAAAGGTATGAACTAATCCAAATATGACTGTTGTCCCTAAAACCGTATCTTATGAGTTTCCGAAGCATTATCCTGTGATTGACACAGTCAAAAGCTTTGGATAAGTTGCAAAGCACTGCTGCAGTGGCTTCCCCGCTGTTGATTTCATTATACACCAATTGCAATACTGTTGATATAGCTTCACTAGTACTCTTAAAATTCTGAATGCCATACTGATGTGTACTCAATATCCCATTACTGGTCAAAAATTCCATTATTCTTTTTTTTTACCAGTTTTTCAATTATTTTTGCCAAGGTTGGGATGAGCGATCTAGACCTAAAGTTTGCTGGATCTTCATTGTTGCCGCCTTTATGGAGAGGAATGACAACTGAGGTTTTGAGAATTGAAGGAAATGTTCCTTGCTCGAAGGAGTTGTTAATCAGTTCAACAAGTATATTGAGCGCAGTCTCAGGCTTTCGAGAATTTCAATAGAAACTTCATCAAAGCCAGATGTTTTCTTATTTTTTGTTTCCTATCACTTCTTTCAATTCATTTATACTGATGTGGTGTAATGAAAAGGTACTGTCTACATAGATGTCACTGAGATATTCTAGGGGATCGTGAGTAGGTACAATGTTTTGACTGAGTTTTGTTGCGACAGAGCAGAAATAACTGTTTAAAAGGTCCGGATTCAAGGATGTATCTGTTGTGTTTGTATACATATTTTTCCTCTGAGTTCGTTGATTATTGACAAGCTTTCTTTAGCTTTGTTGTCAGCTTCCGTGATTCTGTTACTATAGTACAAGTTTTTTGCAGCCCTGATTACCTTTCTATAGACTTTCCTATAATTATTGAAGTAACAGTAAAAAAATAAACTATTAGTAAACTTTCTGATTTGATGAAGAGATCTTATATTTTTTTGAAGAAGTTCGTATTCCCTTAGTGATCCAATGTTTCCGTTTCTTTTTGTTAATTTTTTGTAATACTGCCTCATGGTCAGATAAATTGGAGGGCATGATTAAACAAGAGACACAGGCATGTTCGAGATTTGTGCAGAAGTAGTCGATCATCGTTGCTGAGTACTGGGATATACGAGTTGGTGGATTGATATAATTGACTACGCCAAAAGAGTCAAAGATATTTTTTAGTCTTTGAGTACAGATTGTGGATTCCTCTTTGTAGTCGATATTAAAATCCTCAGCTAGAATAATTTTAGCGTTTAATTGAAATTTTGATAGGAGATGTTCTAATCTATCTAAAAATATATGGATATCTGACACTGGTGACCTGTAAATACAAGCAATTACTAAATTTATTTTTTTTATAGTACTATAGATATTTCAAATTGTTTTTCTTCTCGCATATCACAATATTCTTCTGCTATAACAAACGACATTTCCTGTAATGAATTATGAGCAAATATGGCCATGCCACCATGTATATAATTGGTCCTACAGTAGTTGGACAGAAGATGGTACCCCGGAATATGGAGAGGTTCATCAGGCTTCAGCCAATGCTCTGTCAGAAGGATACAAAACTCAACACTAGAAGTAATGATGAAACAAAATCAGAACTAAAATAATACCACTCAATATTAATAAGATTTTACCTCATTTTTATTAATAATAAGATGTTAATTTTTGTTTATACCTATCTGAACTTGTTACCAGAAATGAGGGATACAGATTTCTTTTCTTCAACATGAAAGTGTGCTAGTAATATCTGCAGTACTGTCTAGATCGCGAATCCATACTGTGGATGTGGATCAGCAAACATAGTAGTTTACAAGATGTAATAAAGTTCCTGAAAGAACTAGTATGAATGTATTAATTTATTTATTTACGGTATTCAACACTTTCATCCCAAAACTGTATATTAATTATATTTGCGAATCATGATACAGTCACTTGAGATTTGTTTTTTCTTTTCTTTTTAATATTCCATGAATGTATTACTGTGACAATATGTATATGTTTTCTATATTCAACACTTTTATCCCAAAATTGTATACTGTGTCCTGTAATTGGGTCTAGTGTCTGTTTGAACAATAAAAGTTTTTTTTTCAATTCAGCAAAATACATTTACAAAATAGTATGAGTTAATCTTGAACACTAACAGTGGTAAAATCTTATAAAACAAAACAAATCAGCATTGGTAAAAAAGTTCATTCTGGAGAGTTGTCTAAAAATTTTAAATGCCACTGTAATTAATGTTCTGTGAAGAAGATAACAAAAAAAGTATCATCATTGTCCTTGATATTTTACTCACTCATATAATTTAATGAAAAGCTTCAGATCAAAAATGCATAATCTGATATAGGTTGGTCTTTTGGTTTCTGAATAAATTACTAGCAAAATGGCTGTACTTGACTTGTCGAAGTAAATAAATGAACTAAAATTTTTGGATCTTCGATTTTTGATGAATATCTTCTTTGGAGTTACTGATTAATTGGACCCATGTAACATTTAGTCACCTTGAAAAATTATTTACCACTCTGAAAACATTTGTAATTTGAGGTAGAGGATAAATATATTTATATATAATAAAAAAGGACGAGTGTAAGTAGGAGTGAATACACAAATGATTTGATATAAATTGGCAACTGTGAGCCGTTCTGAGGATTATTCCACCAAAATCATTAAGGGCTACTACATTTTGCTCTTGTGCCAATAAATATAACAAATGGTAGATATGTTTCTGATTTTTTTTCTTGTTCTTCAGTTGACGGTACTCCTGCAGAGGATACCAAGAGAAGATCATTGCTCTTCTCCTTACGAACGACCGTTTCATGTTCAAGACACGCCAAGTGAGAGCTCTGCCGACTCCTCCGATGACTACACAAACGAGGAAGATGATTGGGACAGCGGTGAAGGGAATTCACTCTTGCCCAGTAAACCTGAACACAGCTGTGATGTTATACACAAGAGTTGATCTTCAATATTTAAATTACTGATTTACTGTAAAAAGTTACACTAGATTGTAAAGTTTCCTGTACTGTAAATAATATAAGAAATGTCTTATTTTGTCTTCGATCTTGTCTATGTCTTCTTCCACTTTCCTTATTTTATCCTGAATCTAAATGAATTCATGTAATGAAAAATTCAGGTTCAATTGTAACACATTTTAGTTTATACAAAAACTCTTAGCTATCTTTTTGCTCAAAAATAGGAAAACACTAAAAATACTACAAGATACGATGAATTGAATGATTGCGAGTATTATTCCTTATGAGACAATATTCAATTTTTTCCCTGAGTCTATCGAATTATTAAACGTAGATATTTCCCATTCTGTGGTTCTATCGAATTTTATGATGTTTGAGATCTCTGCCCTGAGCTAATGATGGAATCTAGTAGTCATATAGTTTGAAGAGTTCTCAGATAGCAGTACAGCTGGATATGAACCAATATTGAGTTTATTGATTTGGTGTTTTCCAGTGCGTATCGTCTGACGCGCGTTGAAAGGTAAGACCTCGTTAATTCTCATCTCGCAAAGTTTTGCCTTCTGAAGGTTGTCAGGAGCGACAGCTGGTTTACGAAAAAACACATTTCAAAATATTGTTGACAGCACAGATTGCACGCCATCTACTAATCTCGCTCTTTAACGAAATAGTTTTTGTTGTCATCCGTGTTGAACAAACGCTTCGTATTGTTATGATTCTTAAAACACACGTTTTTGTAGGTCAGTTAATTAGCTTATTAAGAAAACAGTAATATTTGCAAAACAATTATTTAATTAGTTTTTGAAATACATGTCATTTCATCTATGCAGAATAGGTAAGGTTACAGATTAGATTCTGTTGTAGATCTTATATGATATTTTGATTCGCCAAAAATATTAATACCTTAATAAACTTAAAGTGGGCTAGATTAGGTACAGGAGTTAATTGTGAAGTCTGTCGTCACATATTACTAAGTATTTGTGCGAGGTGATTGCTGTCTGTAGATGCTTGTGTTGATTGGTCTGACGGCACAATATATTGACTAGTTTGACTGCCACTGTTCAATGTCACAGAAAACTCTGCTCCGTGCTTCATTTATTGATTCAATCAATTTGATTGGTCGGTGTTTCTATTTTTGTTTATATTATGTAGCCCACTAATCATAATCCTACAAAATTGCAATCTTGCCTTACCAAAAGATATCACTCGGGAGCATTTCTACGACCGTGGTAGAATTAAAAAAAATAATGAACTTTGGACCTTGCCATATAATTTATCGGAACTGATTCAGATTCACATTCACCGTGACCTCGTTTCCAAATATATCAACATTTTGGTCAAAGAGGTGAAGTTTGTTAAAATATTTCTTGATAACATAACGTGAGATGATATTATGAACTAGCGCAGAAATCTCGATAGTGATTTAACAAGTGAATATGGGTGTTCGAGAGATTTTTCACTTTGTGGCTGCCGTACATTTTTGGGGTGGATGTTATTATGATTGGAATTACGTGAAGATCCCAGCACACGTTCATAATATGGGAGAATCTTTCGGCTTCAGTGGCAAGCTAAAATTCTTAACATACTGGAATGCGGTTAGTAATGATTTGCGCTTAATATGATGAGAATAATTTATTCCTCAAAAATTTACATTAAACTATAATTACAGTATAATTAAAAGGCAAATAAATGAATAGAAACTTGAGAAATAAATAATTTGTAGTTGGTATAATTCAATAGGTGTATTTTTTGAATGTATATTTATTTCTACTCTTGAGATATAATGAAAGATATTTGTGTTTAAATAATTCATTAATTAACAGTTTTTAAAAAATGGAAAATACCTTATTAGTTTTTGTAATTTTCTACTGTAGTTGAAGATGTGATTATTCGGTAATTTCTTCGATCTAATAATTTTTAAATGTATCTTTTTGTTGACATTCTATAACAAATATTCAAGAGGAAGGAAGATCTTCCTCTTGAGGATGATCACTTAGCAAAGAATTGTGACAAGAATCATCTTATTTATTTTTCAATATTCAAGTTTCATTTGGGTTTTGTTTCAGCTCCTTCAAGCAACATTCTTCACCGTTTGTCTTTTGAACGACTTCATTGGCACCAATGAAAATATACCAAAAAGGATTCCTTTAATTAGAAAAGTCAAAGATACGGTACTTAACAATTTTTTATCATATGAAGTAAAACTAAAAACTATTGGTCCAACTATTTTATTCAATCTTTTATACCTTGATATTTTCTGGATACCTATTGTAACCTAAACTGAAACATAAATGAATTTATATCAACAGAGAATCTGCTAAACGGTAATGATAGGTGAATCAGAAAGTTCATCTGAAAAGTTATTTTGTGATATTAGACAGTGATTTGCCATATTCATGAATTCTGTCGACAGACAAAATAAATGATAATTGAGAAAGTTGAATTTTACTTCATAGCTTTTTAACAATGGTTGACTTTTCAAAAAGTACATTCTTTCTGATCTCAAAACCAAAAAATACTTGGTAAAAACCACCTGACTTGGAAGTATGTACATTTCTTTTGATGACTCTTCTTACTTAATGTGATAACTTTTTGGGATGTGAACTTTTTAATTTGTCTTTAATTACACTTGATCAGTTTCTGTGTTGGTTAATAACCCAGAAAACATCAAGTACCATTGACCACTCCACAAAACATGGTTTTCAAAGAATATTAATTCTTCTGTTTCAGCTGATGACAAGTTTAGCCCTACCCCTCTCGCTGTTTGTTGCCTTGACTTTCTGGGGAATATATTGCATAGATAGAGAGCTGATCCTGCCAAAAGCAATAGCACCCTACTTTCCTGACTGGCTCAATCACTTGATGCACACCAACATAGCAATATTCATTTTGATAGAGCTCTTCATATCTTTCAGAAAGTACCCAACGAGGAAACAAGGACTGAGGGTGCTGTGCATCTTTATGTTGATCTATCTCGTGTGGGTCCATGTCATAAACTACTACACTGGTTTTTGGGTTTACCCAATTTTAACAGTTCTAAATGTACCATCACGGATAGTCTTCTTTGCTGTGCTTTTAATTTTTATAGTATTATTATATATTGCAGGTGAAACTTTGAATAATTTAGTGTGGAGAAAGCAACTGAAAGCTTTGAAAATGTCTTAAGAAATTTCGTGTGGTTAATGTAGTACAAATTTGCAGTGACAATAATTACCTTGTCTACATTCTGATCAATTTTTAGTAAAATTATTCGAAATTAGTGGAATAAGTAGCAACTGAACAAATTTTTAATTTATTGTATTTTATGTGGATAGCAATGAATTTGACAATTGTTTTTGTCACTCAGCTTATATTAAATTGATATTATTTTAAATAGGTGGGAAGGTATGAATTTGCACTTTTATAGTCGAAAAAATACAATTTTTTATCACTGTTTTTGGCACCATGTTTTTTATATCCATTTTTAACAAAATAAAAATTAATTCAGATTTTATTAGGCACAGTATTGTTTGAGTTTATGCATCAAGATCCTTTATTCTTGTGTGTGAAAAAGTAGGAATGAATGTATTGAAGAAACTAAATACCCTAGTGGTAAGTTTTGTCCGTTTTTATGAGTCCACTTTAAACTGTAATATCCCGGTGAATACTTATTCAATTTAAACGAAATGAGCGCCATCTGAATCAGTGCCCTTTTGCAAATGTAATACAAGTCGATCAATTACGTCAGCATACAAATTGTGAGCTCGGAATTCGACGAAGGCCGTTTTTGCCCGGTTCTATTTGACGCAGGTTCTATCAGTGAGAAAGTTTGACGTTTGAAATCATCAAAAACCGTATGGGAGCCGACGCCCAGTTATTCCGCCATCCTTCGCACCGTTTGTGACGACTAAGTCTCTACAAGGGGCCCTAAAATCCTCGCCTTGATTACTGTAGGTCGACCACTTCGGGGCTCGTCTTCGAGGCTAAAATCTCCAGAACGAAATTTCTCAAACCAACGCGCCAATTGAAAGAAGCAAAATTTAAGAGTTCGAAAAAATTGTATATACCACGACAAAGTAGAAGAAATATTTATTGAGATATGTGCTGCAGAAACACGTGACAATAAAACGGACAAAACTTTTAAAACAATCCATTAGGACCAACGTTGCAAACCAACGTCGAACAGTGTATTCATACACTATCATTGCCAAATGTCTGGTTAATCGCTTAATGACGTCATATGGTAATGAACTGAAAGGAGGCAAAAAATTAAAATTTGGAAAAAATGAACAGCGTCAGTGTATAGAGTACAAAATTCTCTATCAATCTGTATATACCACGACACAGTAGAATTAATATTTATTGATATATGGAGCTACAAAAAGTGACATTAAGACGGACTTAACTTTCGAAACAACCTAATATTTTTTTGAATGTACTTTTGCAAAGACTAACAAATTAGTATTTTCTTTTGTATCATCAAACAGGCCACGGATTTTTTTTTTCTGTTTTACTCGCTTCTATCTGTAAGATGTCAGTACTGTATAATACACATTCTATTTAAGACAATACATTAATACAAAGACATAAATATTGTAAAGATTGGGAAATTCATCGTCCACATACGACATCTACCGGACATATTGAAACTAAGCCAGATGTTAGCCATGTGTTCCATGTATTGCACAAACCACCTACTATATAGTTTGTGATGTATTGTTGTGATTTCTTGGGCTTCCCGTGAGTGAAATTATTTATTTCCCATATTTGTCAGTTTTTCATGTCTATAATAAACGGACTGAAACATTACTCTCACCAATTCACAATTTCTATTTCTGGTAAAATCTGTTTTACCGTAGAAATATTGTTGAAATGTTAGCTGCGTGATGATTTTCCATTTCCAATGTAATACAATAATCACGTTCACATTGAATAAATTGATAAATTTCGAATATTGTTGAATGTGAGTTAGATATTTTTTTTCTGTTTTCATTTCTATTAAATCCACTACAAACTTGCCACCTTCAATGATATTTGTATTTTGTGCACGGCTGAATATTATAAAATATCAATTTCTCACGATGACTCACATTATTCCAATTGATAATTAGGGCAACAATAACTGAATAGCTTGATATAAGGAATCCGTTAACAAGTGAATAATTCAGAATAGGGCTACCGGACTGAGTCATGGCCGGTGGAAGAAATGGTATTAGGAAAAAAGGAATAGAAAATTTTGTTTGTAATTTTACGTAGTACGGATTAATAATCTAAGAAAAGAGAAATGAAAATTTCTATGTTTTTTATCACTTTTAATTGTAACTAACATTGCTACAGGTTCGTCCTATGGACATTCTCAAACTTATACAATAAATAGTTTATTGTAAACAGTTTATTGTATAAGTTTGAGAATGTCCATATAGGACGAAACTGCAGTAACGTTAGTTACAATTGAAAGTGGTAAAAACATAGAAATTTTCATTTCTCTTTTCATTATGATCTCCTACCACGTACTAACTACTACATCCATCAATTTAATAATCTAAGAGATTGATAACATATTTCTACACATCTACTGCACATCTTGAGGGAGGGGCTTTTCACTAGCCATGACTCAGTCCGGCAGTTGTATTGTCAAATACAAAAATAATTTTATATCTATCAACTTGGCATAGAGAGAGTTTCGAAAAAGTTGAGAAATTGATACTTGAAAACAATATCCACATAAATTTTCTGCTTTTGAATAGTTGGATGAATATTCTGTTTGTTTCAAAGATTTAATAACGCATGTACACGTGTACAGCAGGTATTAATTATTGAATATGCGCAGTGATGCGATTTTGTATTCAAAGTTCTCTCTATGTTATTGGCTTTTGCTTCCATTCAGGCGCATTAAGCTCATTAAGTTGAATTTGAGAACTCGCCTTTTTAGGAATTCCCCGTTGAGATCACAAACTACTTACTCTAAGTGAGTGGTTTGTAGTTAAGATGTCAATAAGAAATTGTATGTATAGACAAGGTGTGATGCCCTTTTGTTTTAAAAGTTGTTGTAGACCAAGTGGGGTAGTTCTGACATTGCCGCAAGATGGTGCTACTGGTCTTTATTTCTATTAATTTTAGTCATGAATTAATCTTTGATAATTGATGCCAATACTATTACGGTTAGTCTATATACAAAGCTATTACATATTTTAAGTTAAATTTAAAGCACAAACAAGTGCCGAAGTTAATCTTCATTGAAACTTTTCGAAAAAAAAGTTTCCCATATGGTGCGCACTTTAATGGTGACACTGTATATTGCAGGTGAAACTATGAATGGCTTACTGTGGAAAAATGAGCTGAAAGCTTTGAAAATGTCTTAGGACATTTGTAGTGACAATAATTTTCTCGTCAACATTCTGATCAATTTTCAGTAAAATTATTCAAAATTGGTGGAATTAGTAGCAGTTGGACAATTAAACTACCTAGAACAATTCGTGCAGGCCGGTCTCAACTTACCTGCACTGTAGGTTAATGGACTGACACCTATCAGAAAACAACTACTTCCCTTGCTAATACCACGAAGGGCGTTGGATTAAATTCGACAGGTGTCAGTGCAGGATTATTCACTGAAGTTATTTCTGTATATGCTGTTGGCGATACAACTGCCGGAATCGAATTTCAATTATTGAAACACACTTGCAGACCGATTTTGGGCTGTTTGACATCGAATTCCTTTCAGAGTAGCATTCCTCGAACTAGGCTGAAGCAAACGACCAACAACATGTTTGTAATCGCCACATCTGCCTGTCAACGAGGTAACCAACCGCATATCCGAATTTGCCCAATTCCTCGTATTAGGAAGAAAACTTCACATGATGTGAAGTAATGATTCTCTGAAAGGAATTTTATTTTCAATTATGGGAAATCATCGACTTCAAGTTGATGATTTCCACACTACCTTGCATTGACGAGTGGCCAAACAGCCAGAAACCGGTCTGCAAGTGCAATAATTAAAAATCGATTCTGGCAGTTGTATCGCCAACAGCATATGCAGGAATAACTTCTGTGAAGAATCCTGCACTGACACCTGTCGGATATAATTCAACGCCCTTCGTTGTATTATCCAGGGGAGTAGTTCTTTTCTGATAGGCGTCAGTCCATCAACCTACAGTGTAGGTTCTACGTTCTAGGTAATTTGATTTATAGCCAGTCTTCAAGTATGCCCACTCTATGTAAAATTGAACATTGAAAAAAATTTATTGTATTTTATATGGATAACAATGAATTTAAAGTAAATGCATCTGTGACAATGTTTTTATAACTCGGCCTACATTACATTGATATTATTCAAAATAGGTAGTAGCCCTTGTAGCCGAAGGAATCAAATTTTTTCCATCACTGATTTTGGCACCATTATAAACACTTTCAATAAAATAAAAATTCAGATTTTATTTTACTGTTAGATTCTATGCATTTAGATCCTTTATTGTTGTGTGTGAAGAAGTAAGAATGAATGTATTTAAGAAACCAAATACACTAGTAGGAAAATTAAAAATTTAGCATGTATGTTTCATCGGTTAGTGATAAAGATATAGATAAAGCTATTCAAAAAATGAGCGAAGCATTGAATAATATTGCTACATATTTGAAAACTAATAAATAGAAGCTAAATGTCAACAAAACAAAGGCTGTGATACTTACTACACACTACACCGTTTAAGTACAGAGAATCAGATTTAAATCAAATTGAAATAAAAATAGAAAATGACAAATTTCATCAGTTCCGACTTCCATTGTCTAATATAATATACATTGATTAGAAAACCCTGAAAAAAAAATAAAAAAATCAACAAGATATATCGAAATTAACAATTTTATTAAACAAAAAACTGAAATTACAAAGAGGTTTCTCCTCGCTGTGTGTGTTTCTTGTGCTCAGCAATGCGAACTTTCAATGGCCTCTTAGTTTCACCGATGTATGATTCTCCGCACTCGCAGGGTATCCGGTAAATGCAATTCTTGGAATCGCAGTCCGCGTTTGGTGGCTTGGTTTTTGTGAGGCTGCTACGGATAGTGTTTCCAGATCGGAAGCAGGTCCTGATGTTATACTTGGACCCAATCCTTCTTATCCTTTCCGATAATCCTCTGATGTAGAAAAGGATTTTCATTTCTCTTTTCAATTTTTTTGGTTGTTGCTTGTATGTTATTTCTTTGTAATTTCAGTTTTTTGTTTAATAAAATTGTTAATTTCGGTTAATCTTGTTAATTTCTTTCAGGGTTTTCAAATCAATTTATATTATATTAGACAATGGAAGTCCGAACTGATGAAATACACCAGGAAACATTGTCAACCACCTTCAAACAAAAGAAAATGACAAAATTGAGCTCATTACTGAATTCAAATATCTAGGATTCATGGTTGAAAGCATCTATCAATGAATAACCATTGCACTTACATACAGAAAAAAATTTTGAAGAAATTATATTTTTTCACAAGAGTGTCCCAACACTCAACTATGCAATCACGGATAACTGTATATAACACCATTATACAACCACATTTCAAATATTGTCCCACTCTTCTATACACAAGTGATTTAAATAAAATGAGAACACTAAAAAAAAACTACAGAATCGTGCAATGAGGATTATTTTGAGATGTGACAGGAGTACCCATATATCTTTAGTGTTAAATACTCTAGAATGGTTATCTATAGAAAGTAGGCTTACCTACATACTTAACGATGATTTATATTTACAAAATATTGCATAACCTTCTACCTTCATATTCTGACAAATTTGTAATTTTTAATAATCAAATCCATCAGTATAATACTAGAATAAGAAATAATTTGTATGTAGATAATCAAACAAAAACATTCAACAATAAAACATTAATTTTTAAAGGATTTATTAAGTATAACAGTCTACCTGAAAATGTAAAGTATTCTAACAGTCTCAATCTATTCAAAAGAAATCTATATTAGACCATTTAAGAGATCATTAAGATGATACCAAATTATTATGTATTATTTTTTTTGTATTTTCAATTATCGTAGGTAAGACTACTTATTAACAAATATCAGTAGATCTTTTTTTCTACTATTGTGTTTGTGATGTGTTTTGTGACACAAGTTATGTATATCAATATTGTTAGATTGGCTACAGTGACTGTCGGAACCTACCTGTCATAAAGTCTACAGAGATGAATAAAGCAGTTGCTCATTGACATGTCAGTAGATTGTATCAAGAGTTTCATTGTTAAAAACTTCAACATATTGTGATGTTTCTTGTTGATTATTACATAAGTTGCTATTGGTGTTGCCATCCTCACCTACTCTTATTACCCTATAGTCATTTTCAGTTTGTTGATGATCATTCTGAAATGGCTTAGTCAAATTTACATGTTGGAACGTTTTTTTAATGAATTTTCTATTCCTAATAAATGTTGCACCATTGCACTGAATTTTATACTGCCTAATACCTATTTTTTCTAGAATTTTACCATCTTTCCAAGGACCTTTTGGTTTGATTTGAACTCTAACTTTATTATTCACTGTCATATCATCTAAGGCTCTGACACCTTTTCTATCATGATACCTTTTTTGATTTACTTTTGTTTCTCTTAAATGAAAATTATATTTTTTATTACAGTTTTTTGTTTTGAAGTGGTATATTAATGTCAACATTATTATCATTGTTGTATATTAGGATGTATCCTATTTTGAATAAAGAATTTCAAGTTTTGTGCCTTCAAACTGTAATATCTCGGTGAATACCTATTTGATTTAGATGAAAGTTCAAATTTCGCGGGTTACGTACGTATTTTTTGTGTTGGTACACTCGCCCTGAACATATGTTCACAGTAACAGCTTTTTAGCATGTTCATTTTGTTGGTGAGAGGTATGAAAGTCAAAAGTGTTTTGCGATTTTCTGTTATCGAAAAATATTTATCGAAATATTTGCATCAAAATTTGTGTAAAAAATTGAATAAAGTGCTCAAAAACACTTGAAATGTTTACAGTGGCATACGGTGATTGTACCCTGAGTCAGAAAAATATTTACAAGAGGTACAAGTTTTTCACAGTAGGTTGAGAGATGTGAATGACGGTGCTCGCCCTGGACGCTCCAGCATATCAACAACCGACAAAAATATTGAGAAAGTGAAGAAAATTGTTATGGAGAATCATCGAATCACTATTAGAGAAGTTGCATATCGGTTGGCTCATGCCATGCGAAAAACAACACCGTATTCTCCAGATTTGGCTTCCTGCGACTTTTCCTATTCCCAAAATGAAGGGGACCTATGAAAAGACGGCGTTTTTTGACGATTTAGTATATAAAAACCGAATAGCTGAGAGATCTCAAGGACATACCAAAAAGTGCATATCAGAAATTCTTCGAAGATTAGAAAGAACGATGGCACAAATGTATTATATATGAGGAGAACTACTTTGAAGTGGACAAGAAATAGATGTATCCATAAATGTTTTTCGAGAAAAACGACAATTCATATTATTTTTGGACATACCTCGTATATGCAAAATCTTAAAACTGGCCCTAAAGAATTAAATTCTGAGACGTTTTGACCTAATGGTTTGATTTATCATCGAAAAAGATAGCTGAACAGTACTGCCATTCTAATTTCTTTAATTACCTAGGTATGTCATTACAATAATATGTGATCTGATGATCAAGCATTTTCAACTAATAGGTCAAAATTTTCTTCGAGCTGTTTAAAAGCTTCTGCCGCCATTACTGCCAGCTGTCCCTCTGGTAGAGTCTCTGGTTCCTGTTTCAGAATTTTTACAGCCTCCTCGAGTGTATTAATAGCCTTCTTCAGTTCCTTCTTGAATTGATCCTTATTTATAGCATCATTTTGGTATTGATGCCTTGCTAGTATCATCAAGGGGCCATGGAGTTCATAAAGTGTCATACCTGAAATATCACACATCATTTGAACTAATTTCGATACATGAAACTGCGTTAGTTTTCGGGAAAAAATGTTTTATCCACTTATCACGAATTTGAAAAAACTTGGCGCCTCGGGTCACTATCAAAATTTGAAACTATTAGAAAAATGCACTATTTCTAAGCACTATTCAGACGAGTTCTTTCAGAACCCTTCGCATTGAAAATCATACATTAAACTGTATTAATGGGTTTTAATATGGATTTTCATCAAGTATCGGCCAGTTCTATTCAATGATTCATCTTTGATCACTTCAAAACGATAGCCCCATCAGTTTTCTGTTGAATTTAAGAACTCGCCTTTTTAAGAATTCCACGTTAAGATGTCAATATGTCTTTTTATGTAGACAAGGTGTGATGCCCTTTTGTTTTCAAAATTGTTGTAGACCAAGTGGGGTAGTTCTGACGTTGCCGCAAGATGGTGCCAATAATCAAGATTTCTATTAATTGTAGTCAAGAATTAATCTTTGATAAATGTTGCCAATATTATTACTTTTTCCTGAAAACGAATAAGCGAGGTTATCACATATACACCGCGTAAGTTGAGGTCCGTTGACGTATTAGGATTGTGTCAAATTTGAAAAATTATCTCAACTGATGAAAGAGTCGTTCTGTTGTTCGCTATTTAGTTCACTCAACAGAATGAGGCCATATTGTTTTCTGTGTGGGTGTTCCAAACGTGATGATCCAAGTACCTATATTGTATAAGGTACATAAGGTGAGGACAATTTGTAAAATATTCAAGTAAGAAAATAAACGATAAAGAAAAATGTGCATTTCAATATCAATGAAAGGTCAATTTGAGTTCGTGAATCAAAAAATATAAGAACAAAAGGTACGTATGATTTCTCAACCGACGGGCGCTTGATATACAAAAAACATGGCACAAAGCGCCCACGCTATTTTTTTACAATAATACTAGTATTTTTCGTTCGTTATTGTTTTAAGCTTATTAAAAAAAAACATTTTAAACTTTTTAGTTCGATGTTCCTTAAAAGCGTGTTTTTAGTTTTTTAAACTATATTTATTTCTCATTTTTTAGTTTCGTATGCTATAAAAGCGTGTTTTTTAGTCTTTTAAAACTATATTTATTTTATCTAAACTTTGAGATCAATCAGCCGTATATTTTTTAGAAAAATGACCATTGATATTTTTCGATTCTGAAGAGGGAGCCTGAAAATCAGCTACCAAGCTCAAGGCAGCAGGCGCGCAAAGGAGGGTTACAAATAAGGCAGCAGGCGTGCGTGTTAATAAAAAAAAAAACCTTTTTTCAAATGAAGAAATACATGTAAAGTGACTTCGAATTATATCATGGAGGTTACGTACACCGCCATCTACCAGCGAATAGATCAAGCAATAATGTCGATAATTCTCGAATACAGATCCCGAGCTTGAGAGTTATAAACAAACAAACATACATACATACAGTTAAAGTTAATATAAAGCCTGTGAAATAAAAAAGAAGGTATCGTTCATTATCTCTCCGATAGTCATATACATTTGACAATATCGCATTTAATTGAAAGTAAATTTTGTAATACTACCAACCGAATCAATAAAAACGTCTCTTGTCATTTAGTTTCATAAAAAACGGTATGTAGTTTATCGAAAAAAGTAATTTACTGATATAGTATATGTTTTTCGACTTTTGAGTTGTCGTTTTTTCAAAGCGCCAAATTTTGATCCAAGATTCGAGATCAACGGACAAAAATACTTAGGTTTGAATACCAGTTTTTTAAAAACTAGCGAAGAAAAAGAAAACTTTCACCAATTTTTCTACTTCACATATTTTCGAACTTTACTGCAGTAACTAGTTACCTCTAATCCTGGAACAACCGGGTTCGATAATGTCAAGAACCTCTAGTAACTGCTGACAAAGTTCAACTTTTCGTTCCAGAAGGAGATCTGGAAGATCTTCCAAAGTGTAACCTTCCGTTTTTCCGTAAAGCTGCACCAACACGCTCCGTAGGATTGTCATGTAAGAATTCTTCGGATGTAAAACGGACCTGTATTTTCTGTAAATTGTTTCTCTGGCCTCGATACCTGAGAAATCAAGGATATTAGTGTTTGAATAACTCAAAATGTGAATTTTTCGTAATAATACAGTTAAGACTAGTTAATATGACTCACCTTCTGGTCCAATTGTACATTCAACATTGTCGATTTCTGTCTGAATCGCAGCAAATACTTTTCTTACTGCTACAGCATTTGTTTTGAATTCACAGTGTGTACATTTCCATTCACAGATATCGCCTAAAAGATATAAACATTTTCATTAATCTTAATACCTTTGTAAGCTGATTTGTTGAAATCTCACAACAAAGTGTTCATCATAAATTTTTCACATCATATCACATACATTTCATGTAATTTAATACTATTCATAAGTTATCTATCCTACTCAATTGTTTTATAAAGAAATCATAGCGTTAGAAACTGCAAAAGATAACGAAATTCAGCGTGACATTGGAGACCCGTTTCCGTATTTGAAACTGAAATATATTTGTGATATCTAACAACCATAATACAATGTCTCTGTTATGAGAACCATGACAACGAACATCCCTAGGTTGACGAACAACGAACAGACCGAGGTTGACGACAGACTAGTGGTATCAAAATATGATGAATCTTTTTTTACAACATTAAAGTATTTAGTTTATTTAAATGTTTTGTTGTCTAATTAATACCAAGAATATAACAGTCTCCATACATACTTTCTTTTTGAGAGAGTACTGCACTGAGATCCCTACTCTAATTATAATCATTGAAAATACCTTTTACAATCAAGAACACGGTTCACCGCATTTCTTAAGTGAAGTATACGGAAAATATTAGTATATCAATGACGTAAGTTGGATATGGATGCACGTTATGATTGTTACCTAAATAAAAATGCTGACTCAGTTCCCGTGGTCGGGGATATACCGGAATTAATTCATTATAGCATAGCTAGTGAACGCAGATGTGACAAGTGAGTTTAAGTGCCTGGTTGATTTTCCGGGCTATTTCGGCAGCGCTTTGGTTCAATTTGTCGTATAGAAAAATTGGCAGAAAATCGCTTAACGACATCCTATAGTAATAAGCTGAAAAGAGACCATAATTTAACCATAATCTTATAGGAATATGGAATAATACATCATAGCTGGTCAACTGCACCGTAAGAGAAGCGAAGACTATAAAAAAAAGAGAAGATGAAGAAGAAACATCACCCTATCAAGAGTTAGACAATACTGTTCACCCGGAGAATGGTACACACAGAAAAAAACGTCATCTTCAACGGACAAGAGATTCCGTGGACCAACGAAGCTAGATACTTGGAGGTCAACCTAGACAAAAATTAACGATCAGGTCTCACGTACGGCAGAGAATAGGAATGGTGAGATCTGCCGGACAAAACCTATTACCAATAATGGTCGAAGAAGCAACATGGGACTGAATGTGAAGCTGCTAATGATAAAGACCGTAATACTACCGATAATCCTGTACGACTGCACTGCCTGGGGCCAGTGTACAGCGACATACAGAAAACAGATCCAGCCGTTTATGAATGCGTGCATAAGGGCCACCGTAAACGCTCCAAGATATATACCGAATAGGTACATATTCCGGGATCTAGACCTGAACAAACACTACATGGACGCATACACGAGAAAACACGCAGATGACACGTTTGACCGAATTCAAGCGCACAACAACCCAGCGCTAAGCGACCTACATAACGCACTAAACAGAAATGACCTCAGATTCCGAGAGAGGGACAAACACAGGAGGCCAACGAAGCAGAACCAAAGACCACCCCCGAGAGTCGCTGTCAGGCGGCTCCGGTAAGTATAAAAATTTCTCAACCAGACCTCAAATTGATCTCATTTTCAGATTCACTGAGAACTAACACTTGCTCGCGACTAAAAAGACACTCGTCTCCGATTAGTTTTTGGGGACCCCATGCAATAATTCAGTTTGGAAAGTCATGATAAAACAACTCAACAGATCATAAAGTAAAAGCACTTAGAGGCTAACTTTCGACTAAAGAAGGTCAGTTGTCAATCTTGCTGAAGTGCCCATCAGTAAGTTGAGGACCGCTCTAGAGAAGCGGGGGTGGATGAACGGGATGGGATGTTCTTCACACATTAACCGTGTGGAGAAGATTTCAACTCAGGGCACTCAATCTGGGAGGGGGCATGAGGGTAGATATATCATACCTATGGATGGTAGATAAGTAGAACCGTTTCATATGGGAGGGAGCTTGAAAAAGTGTCCAACTTTCAGCAGTAAATAACAGTTCAAAAACCCTCCAGAATGGTGGTAGCATAGGCACATGGTATGATATGAACAGAGTTGCCAACCGTAGCGGAATTCCGCTTCTGTAGCGGAATTTACTCGACGGTAGCGGCGTAGCGGATTTTAACATAAAGTAGCGGAATTTTCTATAAATAATCAATATTGAAAAAAAATGGAAGAAGAGGCAGTGGACAGCACTCGAAGCTGACAGTTGACTCTTGAATAATTGAATGCACAGTCAATACGTTATACTCTTAGTAGCTGAGGCCATTACATGATGAAAGAGAAGAATATTCTTGGAAATTTCCATTCATTTCATAAACCCAATTGCGCCTGAACAGGAAGCATCGGCCAATAAAGAAGAGAAGAAGAACCTTATAACCTCCAACACTTTGAAACTAAAAGTCTCGACTATTATAAATTATATAGAAAAAATTCCAGTGGAAATAGAAGATAATTCATCTGATTGTAGCTCGGGTGAAAGAGCTACCGCAGTTGTAATTGACGGAAACGGGGCATTTTCGAAAAAATACACAAAGTCTCGAAAACAAACTTTTTCTCGACATTGGTTGTCTGATTCCAACTTGAAAGGATGGATTAGACCTGTCGCGAATGATCACTCAAGAGCTCAGTGTGATTATACGCACGTGAACAAATTGATATTTATTTTTACTTTTCAATATCATCATTTCAAGCTAAGACAGCTTTCAAAAATTACCTGCAGTAAATTTAGAAAATTAGATACCATCTACTGAGTTGCGCGGTTGAACATTAGCATGATCCTGATTCCTGACATTAGTGACAGTGCAGTTTTGTCAGATTGATTGTCTGCGTCAGATATATAAGCGTAGCGGAATTTTGGTTCATGTGTAGCGACTTCATAGTTCATCCAATTAGCAACACTGCATATGAATTAAGCAGTTGTTAACTGATTGAAGAATGCTGAGTTAGGAAATTTAATATATTTAATGACTAGAGTAGTTGTGGCTTAATGCGCCTCAATGGAAGCAAAACCCAAACACATAGAGAGAGAGAGAGAAAGACTAGAGTAGTTAGTGACAGTGTAATATACAAGACCTCACGTATTTACGTAGTCCAAACTAATTTCTTCAATATCGCTTACTGTTATAATACTTTTGTTCTCTACTTTTTCAACCGTTATTTATGCATTACTTTCTAAATGTTATATTAATCAAGCGTTAAGAAATGATAAGCAAACAAATGATTATGAAACTTCGGTTTCTATTTTATTCTTATTTTGAAAAGTGCACCATAACGAGATGGAAGTTCTTTCGTCCTTTTTCAATTATCTATCCTATTCTAATAACTTTCAGCGTCCTTTTTAAAATTTACCCTTTTGCTACTGTAGCGCCACCCTAATTCTAAATTTTAACGGAACCTTTTTCATAATCATCGCACAGAGTACGAGCGCGATAAATCAAGAAATGTTTGTTTGACCTATCGTGACAATAATTATCTATCAAAGTCAGTAAAAAAAACAAATTCAGCTGAAGATTCTCTCATTGGTCAATTTGAAATATATTGAGCCGATTGAACATCACTGAATAAACTTATATAATTTGGCATACTAGCATTAGAACACCTGAAAAATTATTTATTCATGTTCCACTTGTGCCTATACAGTCTGAAATGTAAGTCTGTGAAAATCATTTTGATGCAAGTTTTTGTAATAAATGTCATTATATTCCAGATGAGAATTATAATTTTGTAATAAGATACAGTAAACAAAGAAAAATTTATTGATTTTATTTTCATTTCGTTATGAGATTTTTACTAAATAGTTTACAAAACCGCGACACGTTTCTCTATACTCGTACACTAGCTTCTTAAGGCGTCTTCAGTTGACAGTTGTGTATAGGATAAAATAAATGAATTCATAGATGCTTCTGTAACTTGAATCAAGCATCCAGTGACATACATTGGTTTTTGACACTCACTTAATGGTTCTGTTGACAGGATAACTCCGTTGTCACATTTCTGACACTTCAAAGTACCGCTATGAGTTCCCAACTCTGTCTTGTCGCTGCATCGTTCACAAAGACAGTCGAAATACTTGCTCTCCTTCAAAAACTCTCTTCGGACTAAGGTGGGCCAGAGGGAATACGTATAACTGCTGTTTAGTTGACTACCCTTTGGGATATCGATTGCAGCTCTTACAGTAACACTGAAAATAAAATGTTGTACACCTAGTTTTTTGAACATTTTTCCAAAACTGATTCCATTACTTGTTGAACATTTTTTTTCTCAATTTGTTTCAGGTTTTGCCATGAAATGTGAGGTTAGATGCAGTTTATTGGTAATGCATCGGAGGGGTGTTCAATTTACACATTATTCATGTTACTGTCAGTTGGTGAAGTTCCTCGTCAAGGTGTTATTATTTTCTTAAGATAAGTCTAAAGTTTTCGTGATAATGACATTTCAAAAGAAACAGGCTTTAGGTAATTCAGAATAACAATAACAGCAATAACATTTTCAGTTGTTCTGTTCATTCACACGTAACAACTAGGTACATATGTACTCACCAACAATCTTCATCATCTCCCGTCCCTATGTATTTAACTGCATGGTGGATATTCGAAACGCAGTTGTGAGACAGGATAGCCAACTTGGGAAACAAACATCTGATCAGTTGTCCCGAGTTGGTTCTGGCTTCAAAGGCATTTATTTCCAAGATCCCGCAGACGGTGTGTATCAAGACCTCAGAGAATCGGTCCAACTTGCATGGACCTCTCAAATACTCGACGACGTTGTGTTGGTTGAACTCCCAAATAGGGTTGTTTTTTCGCAAATCATTGTGGGCTTCCATCATACTGATTTCTTCGTCCCATCGTTTCGGATGTTTCTCTTTGGATAGTAATACTCTGAAAGGAACATAATCAAATCGCGATATTTCTCAGCTTTGGTTTAAGTTAGGCGATCATACAACTTCAGAATGTGCTGTCGAGGAACATCAACAGTTTTGAGTTTTTGCGATTATTATACTTACTCAAGATAAGTGTATTTGTTGGAATCGTTACCGGTCCCAATTTACAATTGTCTGAAGAAAATGTCAGTGTGAAGTGACAATCTCCAAAGCAGAAATATTAATTTTACTCACTCTGTTGGGACCTTGAGACAATGCGTTATCTGAAATTTACTTTTTGAGATCATTTTAGTGGAGGCTAGTCCAGTACGAAATGTGCATCGATGAGTGACCAAAAGCAGAGCAAAAAAGTTGTGTATGCGGCGCCCAACGTGGGGCGTTTACTGTGTCAGGTCTACTTTCCGGGTTTGTTGACTGTGGCCAGCGGTTTTTACTCACTATGTGTACCGAATATATCATATCGTTACCTACTTCTCATAAGCGTACACTAATTTAACTTGAAATTCTTGTTTTTTCCTCTGAGTCTTGTAACTATTATTTTTGGGGGAAAACCGGAAAGTTTCAAGAACTACACAGGAGAAAGCTGAGAAAGCCAGTAGAAAATCTCAACTTCCCAACAGAGTGTTTGCATCTGCATAAATGAAACGATATTAACTTGTTATAGAAATATCACGACCTGTTTCTATAAACATTTGTTTTTCCGGTAACCATGTGCAAGTTAAGAATTAAAGAGGCTACAGTTTGCATTATATAATAATGAGTAAAATTCAGTTGTTATCATTATCGGATTTAAGTATACAGAAAAGTTCTATTATAACTACCACAATCATGTAGATCATATTAGGTAGTCTTCTGGTTAGTAGAACATTTAACAATTTTTTTCAACTTCAGTTTATGATAGATTTTTCTGTCTTTCAGTTTTTAAACCTGCCCTATATCGAAATTTCAAAGTAGTGAAAACTGAACTTTTACCTCAGCGGTGTTAGACATTCATATTGCAAGCATATTTCTGTTGGATCTTCTACCGCTTGAAATTTGACACCAGCCTTTGAAAATACCTGGCACTCGAACTCTCTGTGACTTGGTAAGTTTTCACATGCCGCGTTACATACCGGCCAGGAACATGTCTTACATAGGTTAGTGCAATCCACGAAATTGTAACACCCAAGACAAATGCAAGGACTGTCTGGAAATAAAATAAAATACGAATTCAGAGCGAGGCCAAAGAAATAGTGCCGGAACTGCGTCAGCATTTATAATTTAGTCCACAAGTTTCGGGAGGTAGGTTTTTTCTTCAGTGAATTGTCTGCTTTTGAGGATGTCTTTTTGAATTCTGAATTAGGTACAAGAGGCAAATGAGGCTCAACAAACTTGAAAGATGAATATTCCTTATAGAATAATTAAAATGGATAGTGTTTTGCCTTACAAATTATTCATCTATTGAAGATATTCAAACCCGAATCAATTTATTTGAGAGATCAGTAATAGAAAAATATAAAAGATGTTAAACATCTTTTCAATGGAACTTGTTAAAATGTCACAGTGTAGAGCCTAGGAAAAAACATATTTCATGAAAATAATCAACGGATACATACCTCATCCTCATAAAAAACTATTTTGGGCCTAATTGCCGCTATACTCTTTCTAAACATAACCGTATGTAACAAAATGAAATCAGTCTTCACTCTCATAGCACTAAATACACTTGGTGAGGTTAGCTTTCTACTGTTAAGATGGTAGCGCTAGCGATAGCAGCGCTGAAATTGTATTCATAGTAGTCTATGTATTTTAAAATTCCGCTTTATAGTTTTTTGAAAATTTCAGTTCAATTTCAGTTCATTTGTTGAGGTTCTTACTTACTAGTTAGTGTATTGAATGTTCAAACAGATGAGTAATATAGATTTTGTTCGACAGGTCTACTAATTCGACCGCACTCTGAAGATGATATGTTTCATATAATTTACTTTTTAGGAATCCCCACAAAGAAAGTCAAATACCGACAAATTTTACGACCGTGAAGACTCATCCTGAACTATATATTAAATGACCTCCATCATAGTGTTGATTCAAATCTATATTTTCCATGGCACTGAATTGAGAAAAGAAGCAGCTTTGAATGGTCTTTACGATCACCAGATCCCGGCCGAATTAATTAGAAAAATAATACTACTAGCGCTATCGGTGTGTAAGCCTACATATTTTCAAGTAGTTATGAATTCGAATTGTCAATCAATTGAGTATAGTAGGTAAGCACCTAGACAAATTGAAATTGCCGAATATATTTCTTTATGAAACCATTACAAGTAATTTTAAAATTGAGTGATAAACTATTTCACCTACTTGACTTCCCATGATATTTAAAAAGTTTGGAGTGACTTTGTTACTGACGTTCAAACATGGAAGTGATGGGGTAGGTAAGCACCTAGGACCTAGACAAATTGAAATTGCCAAATATATTTTTAATCATTGAAAGTAATTTTAAAATTAAGTGATAACTATCTTACCTACTTGACTTCCCATGACATTAAAAAAGTTTGGAGTGACTTTGTCAACGACGTTCAAAAATGGAAATGATGGGCTCAAATATACCAGAAAAGACTTTCCCTCTTCAAACAAAACTCATCAGATCCTTACGTTTTCCTAAAATGGTGACGCAGTTCCTTCCGTTTCGTTTTAGATTGGCCATCCAAAAAAAATGCATTAAATATGTACTGTTTTGAAATTTCCAAAGCAGTACACATTCAAATATTCAATATTCAAATATTGCACCACTTACAATTTGGACAGGGCACTTCATATTACCTGATTTGGGACCATAAGCGAATGGTTTCTCGGAAAAAATAATATCACCGGCTCTCAAGTTTTCTTTTGCAACTGCGTACCTGCCTACTTTATCGTTTCTTTCGATGTTAAATAATTCCTAAGAAATACAAACAAATCAGATACTTCCATTGAGGAACAAACAAGTTTGTTTTCAGTATATCATAATCAACCCCACTAAAATCAATTTCCTATAATTTGAATAATGAATACCTATATAGAATGCCATTATTTTAAACATCAAAATTAGTATATTGTGCTATCCTTAAAAGATGGGCATATGCCATCGCGGACTTTTTTGTGAACCCTGGAAGGATGTGAATTGTTTTCTTATATGTCAAATGAATTTGGCAGCGTTTTCGATGGAAGCATAAACCTTGGTCTTAAATCAATCCGTCTAAACCAGAGGATGTCAAACTTATTTTGTCTACCGCCCACTTCGAGAATTAATTATTTTCTAGCGCCTCCAATTTTTTTTACTTTACTATATCTTAAGAATCACAATCGCAGTCATTATTTTAATAATCAAATTATGTGTGTCATGTGAAAATACGACTTTCTGATGAGGGTAATGTAAAAAACCATTTTGAAATATCAGGGAAACTTTTATTCATGTTATTAAAACAAACATTTCAATTTGAGTTTTAAAATTAATCTAATGTGAAGGATGAATTTGATGATTTTTAACAAGTTTCTTAATAACGGCCTCGAAATTACTCAAAAACAGCCATAAGTCACCGCGTTCGGTACTCTGCAACCGATTTCTCTTTTAAGTTACTTAAATGAAATGAATAAAAACACTTTTGTCTAAAAACCAGTGGAAAATTTTCCAGTGGTATTTAGACAAAAGTGTTTTTATTCATTTCATTTAAGTGATCATGAATTACCATAAAGTAAACAACTCATCAATCACACATATTAGATCTTTTTAGTTAGCAACGTTGCCACAGCACTAAATCCACGTTCACACAAATACGATGATGGGAATGTTATCAAAAATTGTTGAATGATGGACCACAATCCAGGGTACAATTACGGGATTGGCTTTTATAGCCAAAAATCTTGCTATGCATTCTTGAATTTTATTTTTATTTCCTCATTCGTCATCAGTTCTATGAGTTCTCCTTCCAGCTGGGGTGATCCTGCTGTGTCGACATTTGAAAAAGAATTCAATACCCAGTCCGGTATTTCCAATTTTGAAATGTCCTGCAATCGTTCTGCGAAATCACTGTGGAGGTTCTCCAAATGTTGGCAGTAAACAAGCAAGTCGTCGTTGTTGAAGAATACTGCTGACAAATTAGGGAAATTGCTGAACTACGTCTGCCGATATTATTTTTATATAAGAGCAATTTGGCTACAAAAGCAACAATGACATTTTTTGTTTTAATCAAATTCAAGTCGTCATCTTGAAGTTGGAGATTGACATCATTAAATAATTTATACAGGTCTGTCAAGTACGTATTATCATTCTTTACAGTGATGAGGTTGTCGTGCAATTCTTTGTCTTTGTTTTCCAAGAACTCTATTACAGAGTCGAATAGATTGTATAATCGAGTCAGACAGTTACCTCTTGATAACCAACGCACTCCTGTGTGAAATAGCAATCGGTTGATCTCTTCATCATTAGCAACACAAAGCTGATTAAATATTTGTCATTTAAAGAGCCGTTTCGGATTTTATTGACTGCTTTGATGATATATTGCTGTGATTGAGAGAGGCGCTCACTCAAATTTTTCGCAACCAAATGTTGACTATGAATGACGCAATGTACAGCAAGCACATCTGGATTTTTATTTTTTAAGTACGCTATGAAGCCTATGTGACGGAGCCTTATCCGTAGCAGCTGATATAATATTCTTCAGTGGAATTTCTTTCTCATCCAAAAATTTTTCCAGTGTATTATATATGGTTTCTCTTTTCGTATCCGTCTGTAAATTTCTGGCAAAGAGTAGTTTTTGATATATTTTCTCATTTTTAATAAACGTCATGTATGACAACAACAATGCTTCATTGGTTGGTAAAGTGGACTCATCTAACTGAATTGAGAATTTAGAAGTCTTCAGATGATTGAATGACTCTTCAATGTTTGCAGCCATCTCATCAATTCATCTTTGCACGGAACTATTGCTGAAAGGAATTTTTCGGATAATATCTGCCGCTGGTTTATGGAGCACAGCAGTTATTAATTCTTTCATTGCCGGTAAAATTAAATCCTCTCCAATAGTGTAGGAAGCTCGGAGTCCGTCGTCGTCTTGCTTATAAGCCCGTGAAAAAAGTTTTGACACCTTTTATCTTGTAGCCTTGAGGGTTTCATCGCTTCATTCGAAAATGTTTTTTGACAAAGAAAACACATAGGCGAAGATGGATTTGTGGGATTTTCAATAAATCCATATTTTATATATTTCGCGCTATAGTGCCGTTTCTTCTGTTTTGCTTCTGACATGATTTTGTCTTCAAAAATGCCGAAGTAAAGAATCGAGTATTAAAAACTTGCTAATGACACCACTCACAGTATTCACCACCGCACGTACAGCACTTTACCTAGCTAGTCGCTAACTAAATTCACTTAAAAAAATTGATTTGGGAAGCTGAATACACTTGTTGAATGAATGAATCGAAGAGGTTTTTGTATGAAAGTGTATAATTATAAAATAATTGCAAAGATGACGAAAGTCGAAAGCGCTTTGCAATAATTTTATAATTATACACTTTCATACAAAAACCTCTTCGATTCATAAATTCACTTCATCTATTGTACAGTTTGACAACTATCGGACAGGAAATAGTTACTGTCTATTTAATTTGTGTTGAAAGCAAACACATTTTTACTAAACCGCTTCAACGCCCCCAATCTTCTCTGTGCCCTTTACTGCCCCCTATAGGCCTCCAGCGTCTTCCTGATCCCACTATCGCTATCTGGGAAACAGTAAGACCTAAAAGGTCGGCTAAATTGAAGAAGAGTTTTCTATTTTGGGGAACTATAATAATCCCTTTTCATATCTAGAACATCGGTGGTTGTTTTTGAAATGTCCGCCAAAAACTAGAACCGTAGAATGCCGTTATTTCGTTCTTCATTTCCGATGAGGAACTTTCAATACTGTTTCATAATCTAATATTGAAAAATTTGCAATGCGGCGTTACGTTCATTAGATTTCATCATCTGCTTTAATTTTTTTTAAATACATACCTCTAGTTTTTTAATCTATTTTTGTAGCCACTGTAACAACAAATTCAGTTATGTGTACATGTCCGTATTGTAACACATATGTAGCTGAATAATACGCTAGAGAGTCTAGTTTCACCATACAGGTGGAGATCTCTATTCACCAAAGTCAAATTTAAATAAATGGTTCTAAATCTATTGTAGCACTTATGACCTAACACCTAGTATATATTTTTTTCATATCGTGTTGAATCAACTTCCTAAAGCATCAATAAATTCGTAAAACTATTTTGATTGGGTTGTATTTTTTACTTTTCTTCAATTGGTTTTTGAATCAGTTCTAGCTCTATTTATTATCTATTCATAATAATGTAAGATAAATTCATGAAAGCAATATGAACATTATTGTTCATTTTTATTATCACTCTATGTTTTCTACTATCTTGTGCTACAATTTGAATGTAAAGATTGATGTATATTTTGTGGATCATTTACTCTTCTGAAAACAATAATATTATAGAGAATTTTCAAATAGAAACCCAAGGCAAGAAACGTTCATAATATGCATGTAATTTTGAAGAATATACCATGAGTTTTACCTCTCTGAGGTTAAAAAATCTACCACACTAATATTTACCTTCTGGTTCATTTCGTACGATTTAATCGACTTGAATGAACAGAGATATATTTATCACCGGTTCGAACTTCACAAACTTCACGTGAGTAAAGTCTAGTGAATTCTGAACGCTTCTTTGGCAGTTTCATCCCATCCAACTATTTTTAAACTACCTATTTTTGTTCCCTAAATAAACATTTAATGGTTAGATACGGTACAATAATATTTTTGAATCTGACACGGGATTGACAAGGCATTTTTCAATTTCATTTCATGAAACACACTTCAAGTAGTCAATATATAGTCGGTGAAGCTATTCGTATTTCACCGAAAGAGGGATATTTTAAGGAGAGATTATTGGCTTTCTACTTTTCCATCTTTATACAAAGAAAGGAAGAAAGCAATTAGTTTCAAAAAGTTGGCTCTACAAGATTCATTTCTAAACATTCCAAAACGTTGAGTTTGGACTTTTCCCTTACAAATGCAATACTTCATATACGTGAACTCGTACCCCTCTGTCAGATGATTCACAAACGTTGAACTAGTCTTTCTATTCAAAACACTCCTTTTATGCTCTTTTGTTCTTTTGGAAAAAGTCCTTCCGATTTATCCGATATAAAACTTTGGACAAGAATGATAAGTCCACTAGAGTTTTATCTTCATTTTATCGTTTGTTTCATGTCGTTTTGTGTTGGTGTTGTCTCGGAAGTTCTTCTGTTGCAGTGTTCCTTATTTATTTTTTCAATATGTATCTAATATGTCTGATGGTTTTTAGAATAGTGATGATCAACACGAAGAAACTACTTTTCAGCCCTGAAGAAGAATTTATTTAAAATGCAAACGTCGGCAAAAAACAATTGTTTTTTTAAGAAAATATTGATCCCGTTAAGCAACCAACCTTTCTTCGCCAAATTATTGTATCACTGAACTAAGTAACTTTATCTTTATTGTTTTTAATGAATTTACTAGAATTATTATTTATTCTATAAACTATGTCCGATTCTTTGCTTTTTAAAAAACGAGTTATTATTAGTAGGATCAACAAATTGAAATAGAGTTACATAATATTTAGTATCATTCTTGGAAACTGGATAAACCTGGTTCAGAGGTTGTTTCTGCAATTTTTAGAAAGAATTGAGTCAATCATTTCCACGTCGTAACTATTGTTGCTAGCAATATGTTTTACGAAAATCAGTTATCTTCAAAAATTACTTTCTGAAAGTGGAATATTCAATAGCCTGTGAATCATAATGGAATGCCACTACTCATGTTGATATTACGATTACGATTACGAAAAATAACAATAAACATGAATTTGCAATTTTTCACAAACCATCGTACACAGACATTATCATACATAATTCCTCCACACACCCTTACCAACATAAAGTTGCTGCATTCAATAATATGCTTCACAGATTATTGAATATTCCACTGTCTGATAGGGAGTTCCAGAAAGAGCTGAATTTGATCAAACAAATCGCGGTTAATAACGGGTACAAAGTAGATATTATAAACGCTATTCTTACGAAAAAACTTCAAAAGCAAGCCATGGACTTGGTCTACCCATATTCAAGATGCGATAACGTCAGTTATAGGACATTGGCATATTTGGGTGAACCAACCAGGAATATCGCCCGTTTTTTGAAGGCGTTTTTTGAAGGCGTCGTTAAACGTGGCTTACAGAACGAATAATAATCTTAGTAAATTTATTAAAAACAATAAAGACAAAACGTTGTTGGATAGATCAGGAGTATATAAACTGACTTGTGGCTCTTGTCCAAAACTGTATATTGGCCAAACTGGAAGAACATTTTCCCAAAGAATCAAAGAGCATAGAAGCAGTTTTATAAATAGAAAGACCAATTCCACATTTGCAAACTACCTATTAGCAGAAGGACATGAGTTCAATCAGGAATACGATGTGTTACATTTAGAAGAGAAGAGTTTGAAACTCAATCTTCTAGAATGTTTGGAAATCAATAGATTCAGGAATTCGGGTAATTTACTGAATGATCAATTAGAATTAAATAACTCTCCGTTACTGAATATTTTTTCAAACGGAACAAGACACGCCCGAGGAAGCCATTGTATGGCGAAACACGTGTTGCGTTTTTGTAAAACTATCTAGTGAAAATCACATAATAAAGTGTTTTTAGAATACGTTAACTGTCATTGATATTAATTATCGCAACTCAGTACTAGCTTGGCTTATTAAAGAGAGGATTGTATTCATCATTCATCCAAATAATGAAAGAACTCATTTAAAAACTTAATTAAATATATATTGTAATGGAACGGGAAAATACCTACTTCAGGAATAAACTTACACTAAAATGTTGATAAAAAACACAATAAATCACCAAAAACTCACATTATGCAGCCACCCAGCAGGATCGAATAAAAGGAGATGTGCTGTATCCTTATGATCTTGACCTCCTTCAACATTTATGAAGATTTATACGCTAACATTGCAACTTTGATCCGGTCACTGTACTAAAGTAAAATGCTCAGTATACAATCTGTGCAAAGTTTGCGTATTTGGAGATTGTTTTATATTTCTATATCCTACGATCGTATCAATTTCGATGTCTACGAACTTTGAATATTGAAAGATTGAATTCTGAATACTGAGTGTTTTTGTTTCAGAATATTGGAGTTGAGGTTGGAACATCTTTCAGTTAATGTATTTACTTAAATGAATTTGGATTATTTCATGGTTATTTTCCATATTTGACAATATTGAAAAGAGTTTCACAGGCAATCTTTGTTTTCTTTGGTTCAATCTGATTAATATTATTCTCATCTGGACTGGGAACAAGTATGTCGTGACTGAAAGTAGCTTTAATGTTCTTTTCTTCAATGAAATGTTCTAATTTGTTATTGTTTTTTTTAACTGTTCCATAAGTTGGATGCATAAAAATTCAATACTGTCCACTCTGGCTGTAATACCATCTCGATTGGTTGAGGCACTAGTTGAACCCTCGTCATTGGATAATAGATCCAGCAGAGTTGTAAAGTCAAAGTCTTTCGGATTCGCAAACTCGGGATACCTCTTGATGATTTCTGCTTCCAATTTGATTTTCAAATCTGATACTGCTTCATTAGTGTCGATGTCGAAATGACGTAGGATTTTTGTAACTTGATCTTTGTTGAGTTGTTGCAGAAGTTTAACCATCTTTTTGTAGACAGTGTTAATTTTCTTTTTCGGCGTCACTAATTGTAGTCAGCATATAACTATTAATAACTTCTTCAATAGAAATATATTTAAGAAGTTTTGACAACTATTCAAATTGATTTCTGACAGATCAATCAACAACCTCACACACATTGCCATTGAATTAAATTGAAAATAATTTTCAGTTAAACAAATCTTTAAATCTAAAATTTCATGTTTAAATGTTAGATTAACGTGGTTTTCGTCCAAAAGGCATTCAATTAACTGAATTATTTCTATTGGCGGAATACTAAGAAATAAATTTTAGACATGAAAAAATATTAATTTAGCAAGAAAGGAAAGTTTTGGGTTTCTACTTCTCCATCTTGGTACAAGAAACATGCAAATCTTCCAAAGAAAAGAAGGAAGAAATCAATTCCATATAAAGATGTGTAGATCATGCAAAGAAGTAACTTTCAGACACAAACTAGAAGAAAAAGCTCTCGCGAATCAGTTATTTTCATATAAACATTGAATTACACGAATATTTTCGAAATAAATACTTTTATATGAACGCTGGATTATACGAAAAACACTTTTCTCTGTTCCGTTTGTATTCCAAACATTCGTATTCGTATCAGCTTCTTAATAAAGTCGATGTATTTGTATGGTGAGTGGTCTGTCAGGTCAGTTGGTAAGACTACAGCTCTGCCGAACTCTAAAAACCTGATTTTATTCCCAGCGGGGCAGGCACAAATTATGTGCTCTGCTGTGTCATCATTATCCAAACAGAGGCGACACACACTGTCTTTCGACAGTTCGAGTCTCTGCATATGGTTATATTGGTAGTGTAGTAGTGAAATAAATTTGGGTTTAATTGAACATTGTATTCCATTATTATCAAACCCACGGGGAAAAAGTAACACTTCGTTACTTTCACTTTCAAAGCTATGAACAAATTGCAGAAATTGACTTTTGTGTTCGATTCTGTCGAAAAATGAAAAGACACTACTAGAAGTAACAATATTTAATTGATGCATTAATATACCAGTACATTTAGATAATAATTTGACAAAAGTTTCAATTCATATATTAAAAATTATATCGATCAAAAACTAGAAACATAAATCAAAACTTTTGCTTACAAAATCAGTGTATATAAAATGCTTAAAAGTAGGGTAATAAATAACTATAATAATATAAGTAATAAATATATATATATATCTGATTATTCTCAACATTACAAATATAAAATATCACAATCATCCAGTGTAAAAACAGGACAACAATCATTTAAAACGCCATACTACCATGAATAAAATGTAAGCTCAGCATTGCTCTTCTCATTCGACCAAAATTAATTAGTTAAAACACTCAATGATTTGATGTTTTAAATAATAATATGCCCACTTTGGAGTCAGGTACTCCCGGTGAAGTTTTAGTTCATAATATTAATATTTTCATATGGCATGAAGTGAAGTGAAGTAAACAAATAAATTCAACTGAGAAAAAAGTGAAAACGAAGACGGTCATTCGTAATCCATATTTGCTTTAATGTTTGTTATTCTTACGCAACTAGTCGGTTCACTCTAGAAACTATCAACTACGGCAACATGCCATCTCCGTATACTGAATTAATAACGTAAAAAGCACATTTAAAACTGAATAGAAATCGTTTGTTATAATCATATATAACCAACAAATAGTAACCATTGTGTGATGTAAATTCGCTAAATTTGTAAATCTCATTTTAAAACAATGGTTGCAAACAGCGACATCTCAAAACTTTACATGAAGCAGGATCAATTCTGGCATTTCTAAAAGATATTTTCCTCACTTTCTCAAGAATAAATTTATTTTAATATCAGCAGAAACCCTGCTTACTCACGAAACATCGATTTCTAATCCTGTGGATATGAAATATTCGAAAGAACTATAGAAAGAGAATATACCCTTCAACCTAAATGCAATGACTTAACATCATTTTCATAAATATTCAATCAATAACACAAAAAATCTCATTATCACACACATAACTAACGGTACAAATGTGAAATCTATTTTTTCACTAATAATAAATCCGAAACATACAGTTCGATCAAGAAAATTACATACCTAATTAAAACAAAGAAACGTCACAAATAAATATTAGAAAGAACATTTCTTCTCGCATAATTACAATTATCATATTCATTCATAGGCAATTATTTATTCGAAAAATCTCACCAATTTTCACTGGGGCTTCCGTAATTAGGAGACGATTTGGCTGTAGGAGAGTTCTTTCTTTCCGCACCTGGAGCCGCAGAAAATGAATTGGATCTTTTGTTCAATTCTGAAAATTATATTAAACTGTTAGAGCATTTATTTACATATTTTCAACAGACTGATCATTTATCATTATTTTTATTTATTTATTTTTCAACGGCATCATCTAACGCAGTGGTCGCCAACCTGTCGATCGCGAGCTACCGGTAGCTCGCGGAGACAATTCTGGTAGCTCTCACGATTTTAAACTGCAAAAATCAGAGAAGCTTCCGAAAATTCCACAAAAAAATCTAATTGTCACAATATTAAACATAAACAGCGGCAACGTTGCGGTGAGCGATCTGCTGCTGACGCCATCAAGCTAGAATCGGCTAGAACCGACCAGCCGGACCAGCGCGTTAGTGTTCGAGAACGATCTGGATTGCTTTGAACGGGATAAATACGCACGGCGCGGCGA